ACTTCCTTTACTAGGCTTTCATGCCAGGCTTGAGGCAAGGGATATTGATATTGCCTGAAAGGCTTGGACGAACCCACATCAATGTGATGTTCGATGAGATGAGTTCTACCCAACTTATTTTTCGAAGATATAGAAGAGAATGATTTGATAACACTATTTAACTGCTCTAATTCCTGAACATTAAGTCGACTCATATCTTTAACAGCATTGACACAAGAGATATTAAATGAAGACACAGATAAGGAAAATTCAGTAAAATTTAACTCACTATTAAAAGTTTTCAGAAAATCCATACCTAGGATGACTGAATTCTTAACTGACGGAATGACAAAGAATGTAACCATTCTTTTACAGAAACTAACACAAATCTCAGTAGTGAATTGACCTAAAATTGGTTGAACTTGACCATCAGCTGTAGTCACTTGCAAACTTTGATCTATTCCTATATTTACATTGGAATTCTGGAGAAATTCCATACCGAGAGAACCTAAAATAGAGATATTGGAACCTGTGTCCAGTAAAGCTAAACAAGAATGTCCTAAGATAGATATTTCAAGATATGGACGATTATCCTTGTTTTTTCGAACCAACAATGAGTTTATATCTAAATCAACAAACGAAGACAAGGGATTACAGAAGAAACTACAGAAGAATTACGGTGCTCGTGCTCAACTAACGTTGTCCTCTCTTCGGTTGGTATTTGCCGTTCTGTGGTCTTTTGTCTTTCGGTGGAGGGTGAGATGTTTGGCTTGTGGAAGCTTGGGCATCCAGACTCGAGAAACTGGTTCCTTGGTTTTGAGGAGTTTGGACAGTGTTTGTATTCCCTGTATTTTGACGAGGAGTAGGAGCCAGGGCCAACCCACCCCTTCTGTCGTTTCCCGAACAGAATTGGCATTCAAATTTGCGGACACCTTGACGTCCACATCCATAACAAAACCGAATTCTAGGTTCAGAACATTCGTAGTAACCATGTCCTGACTGACGACAATTCCAACAGGTAAGCTTCGAATTAAAAGAAGAGACATTACCAGACCGAGAATAATTAGGCCTACCAGAATAGGATGAGTCATTATTTCTGAAATTCTGATGGATAGGGGCTCTAGACACGCTGTCAGAAGACCATGACAAAACTTCCTCTAACTTCTTACACTTTTCTGTAAGATCAGCAATCGAGGGAATATCTGTAAGTGCCAGACTAGAATGGTACGATGGCAACAAGTTTTTCTTAATAATCCTGACAATATGAGGTTCAGAAAGAGGAGTCTCCAGACGTTTACACATACTAACAATCTCATTAATAAAAATTGTAACTTTCTCCTGTGGAGCTTGTTTACGAGACTTGATTTCGTCAAGGAGATTATCCTCATAGTTATATGGAAGAAAATCTGATCTGAGTTTGGCAACTAACTCTTGCCAAGAAGCAAAACTACCTCGGTTATTGAGGTACCAAGTAAAAGCTGAATCTTTAAATAAATCTGCAGCAGAAGAGTAACACTCTTCCTCACTGTTACCACGAGCTATACGCATACATTCTACCTTCTCTAAGAAACTAACAACGTTCTCATTATCTTGACCTGAAAAATGCACACCCCATTTATGAATAGGAGCAGACTTAACAAAAGGAAACGAGTTGACTGGAACACTAGCATTATGAGGAGTTGACTGTGCCTGGGAATCACTTTACAATCAAGTTCACCTTCCAGAATCAAAACTCTGAAATTAAGAGACCTCTTCACTTCCTCCTCTTCCTCTGTTGTAGCTTCTAACAGATGGATTCTAGCTGCAACATGACCTAACCGAGAAGTATAACGAGCATAGGCAGTATCACTAGAAGAACCAACAAAAGAATTAATTTTGACCACCAGATCTGCAAGAGTAACCTCTATTTCAGCAATCTCATCCTTAAAATTAAGATGGGAAGCTGACAGAACAGCGAAACTCCGATTGGATGAAGTTTGCTTCAATGCAACCACGCAACACTACCCTTTTCCTTTCCACCGTTGTCAAAGATGGATCGTTTAAGTGACGGACTCTCAACTCATACTCTAATTCAGGAGCTAACAGATGCTCTACCTTGAACGCAGACATATTACACAACAGAAATATACAAGAGAATGAGTAAAAGTAGGTAAAGTTTAACTTACTCTCTGTCCTCAAATTAATATTCTGAAGGGATACCTATACCAGTAATGTTTAATTGCTTTGGTCCAGCTATGAAATCCACTGAAATATACTGCTACAACACCCTAAGGAACCTAAAATTTCAAAATTGTTATTTTGAAGTAGTGACTCAACTTATTGGCTACTCCGACTTGTAAAAATATGTGAAATGGTTAATTTTAAGTTATTTAAATTTTTAATTAATTTATTATTAATCTAAAATAGTTATTTAACAAATCTAAACAAAGCAATTTATTCAGTCTACACAGTATATAGCAAAACAAGTCAATTTAAGATATAGATATAAGGTAATGTCCAAAAAAAAAAAAATTGAATTGAAGTATAAAACTAAACGTTAAAATGAAAATCTAAAAGCACAACCAGTGAAAACCACAACAACCCCAGATCAAAACCAAAAGTTTAAGGAGATATATATTTTTTTTAAAGGAAGAAGTGGAAAAGAAGCCACACGTTGGGTCTAGCCAATTGAAACGAATAAAATATGTGAATTGACAAAGTTCAGAAGAACTGAAAGAGAAGGAAGGAAAATATTAAAAATATGGCTAAGCTCAGAGGAACAAAGTTAAACGGCCAAAGAGACACTAAATCTCAAGTGAGTGTTCGGGCTAGCTTCGATGCACTGGATTGCGGCTTTAAAGATACAACAGATAACAAGGATAATGAGCTAATGAGACAAGAAACGAAATGAGACCTGACAATGTCAAACGTGATATAACTAAAGAAGGTCACTGGGAATAAATTTATAGAAAGAGAACACTAAGAAGAGAAAAGAAGGGCGCCAACTCAACGATAGTTGAGATTTTGAAGTAACAAATAAATCTGGAGATAGTAACCTGAAATACAAAAAAAAACTAAATAATAATCTTGTTTTGCTATGTTATATACTGGTTAGTAGAACTGAAATAAAACTCAAAATAGTAACAACAAATATATTTATAAAAAGAATGTATATAGATACATGTGTATAACCAATTTACATATAATGCAAAGCTAAATATACAGTGGTAGTGGGTATAAAGATAAAATGGGACCTAATAGCCCCTCCACAAGCAAATAGTCACTACCACTGGCCAAATAAAATGTAAATATTAGTATTAACAAGAATAGTCCGTTAGGGTAGCCGAAGTCTTAACACTAAGGTTAGTAATCTAAATTTAAATAGTTCTACTAAACTGATAAACTAATCAACGTATTGTACAGGTATCAACAGTGATAACTCTGTTACAATTATCTTAAAAGTGAGTTTTCAATACTCCTTATCTATTTATTTTAAAGTCCACATAAAATTTATTTCCCTCCCCAAAATATTTTAATATTATTACATCAAAGTATGTATTGTATTATAACATGAAATCCAAGAAAATGAGTTATGGTCAGACTCACTAAATTCTTTAGTTAACCTAATAACCTATAAAAAATGTCCTTTTTCCTCCCCGAATATTTTATATTAATTAAATTATCAAAGATATTAACCACTCATATGCATATGAATAGCTCACAGTGAATTAAATATACAATAGCAAATGGTCACAACAACTTATCTTTAATAACAATAGGTCCCTCCAAACTCAGCTGGGCACATCAAAACTAGTTCATCATGGTGACAAGTCCCATATTTTGGGGTTACTGCAAAATCCACGGATTCACATAAGCAACCTGCTAACCATACTTTGAAGTGTATATATATATTTTATATTGAATATTTAAGTGACGGAATTGGAGAACGTGACACGCCAAAAAAATCTTCCTTTTTTAATTGGAACTCTTAAATCATTTTGCTTTTTTTTTTTTAAATTAATTATTTTTATACATTTACTGAGATATTATTATTACTTAATTGAATATTATTTTATTCTTCCTAGATTATTTTTATTTGTTCCAATTCCGTCACTTGGATTGACTGGCGTATTATCACGTCTGAGTTTTGACCATAACTGCCGGCACCTTTGCAAAATCCATCGGTCCCCACTTTCAAAGCCACTCCAGCGCGTGAGTAGAGAAAGGTCGATGTAAAATCGAACGCTGGCGGGTCAAAAGAAATTTCTTGAGGGGTTTAGTGACCACGATTTTAAATTGGACACTTGATTAATCAGTAGCGTAAACGCTACAATTGACATAATAATTTATAGCGAAATGGGTTGTACTAACATATGAAATGAAATACATTCAAAATATGGAATATTTTCCACAAACTTAGATAGAAACTTAAATCAAGTTTCTTGCGAATTATAGTAAGAGACTAAAAACGCAATCAAGGAGCTGTAAAGAATAAATCTATTGTACTATTATTATAAATCTAAATTATTGTCTTTATTTATTATAAAAGGGTTCTACACTTTTACAACACTTACAAGTTTATTAAAGTCTTTATTTATACAATACTACACTAATTTATTTTACACTATAATTATATAATTTATTTACATTTATTACAATACGCGCGTTTCATTTCAAACTCGATACAATTATATGTTCGGACTAACTTGTTTTCAAATAAAAATATCTATATATATCAAACAACCGCTAATCTGGAATCCCGGCGACCCATTTCGAATAGACTGGAAGGTCACGCCAGACTTTTTAGCGGGTCGGAGAATCTAGAAAATATCAGAATGAAAAAGATGTCAGTGTAGATATGAGTCATTATTTATCGTAACACTATTAAAGTTCCACTGTTTGGGAGTTTTACAATGAAGTGAAACCATCAAAAGTTATTTGTTTTAGATGAACCATATTCTAACACCAAATTTTTAGAAATTTCAATAGTATTATTTCTAATTAATATTGATATTCTAATAATATTAATTTTTTTATTCTAGTATGAGTTTACCAGAAGAAAATACCCAGGCAAGATAGATTACGTTTTCACGACAGATGTGGATCTTTGGTAAAGTTATCCAATGGTAACAGAAGCGCTGAACGACGTAGACCGCTTGATGAGTTCAACAACGGAGTAGTCATGACTCATCGGCCGCTCAGGGATTCAGAACTGTTTGAAATTCGTATTGATAGACTGGTTGATAAGTGGAGTGGAAGCATAGAGGTGAATTTTAATTACCTTTTAAGCGTTCTTTCATAACACATTTTATATTATCCTACAAGGTTTGAAGACGATACGAGAGCTATATAATAAGTAATGGCTTATCTCTCCGGGTCTGTAAATTATCAGTTATAATTATTTGGTATTATTATATTTATATATATTTTTGTCGATTTTAAAGCGTCATATGACAGTGTCTTAAGACCAAGTCTTTACAACGCTATGAATGAGTTAGGAATTCCAAAAAAACTCATATGTTTGATAAAAGTGACAATGGCGAAGATGCTATCAGCAGTAAAAATTCAAAACGACTCGTCAACCCCATTTCAAATACATAGGGGGTTAAGGCAGGGAGATGCGCTGGCGTGTCAGCTTTTTAATGTCGCCTTAGAAAAAGTTGTACGAGACGCTAATTTAGATAGCAGGGGAACAATATTTAATAGATCAGTCCAAATTCTAGCATATGCAGACGACGTGGACATTATAACAAGAACTAGGGCGAGAACTGCGGAAATCCTAACCGAGCTAGTAGCAGCAGCAGAACGAATGGGGTTACATATAAATCAAAATAAAACCAAATTCATGGCGACTAACACAAACACAAGAGCAGGAAATGTTGACACAAATTTAATCATCAATGACCAAAACTTTCGAAGCAGTCAATGAGTTCATATATCTAGGGACATCGGTTAACCCCAATAATAATACATCTGAGGAAATAAAAAGGCAAATAATAATTGCAAATAGGTGTTATTATGGTCTATCAAAGTACTAGCTAACAAACGTCTGTCTCAAAAAACTCGTATAAGGCTGTATAGAACACTGATAGTCCCCGTTCTCACATACGGATCAGAGGCATGGACGCTAACGAAAACAGATGAATCCGCTCTATCTATTTTTGAAAGAAAGGTGCTACGCAAGATATTTGGAGCGGTCTGTGAGAACGGAATATGGAGGCGTAGATATAACTTCGAACTGCAGAATATCTACAAGCATACGTTGGTGGTAAAGATATTACCACTATAATTAAGCGAAACCGCCTGCAGTGGGCAGGACATGTAGCCCGGGCCCCTGAATCGAACATGATAAAAAAGATTCTAACTAGCGCAACCTGTGGGAATGAGACGACGGGGTAGAACCAAAGCTGAGGTGGATGGAGGGGGTAACACAAGATGCGGAGAAGATCGGAGTCGGCAACTGGAAAATTCAAGCAAGGGACAGAACAGAATGGCGTAGAAAGCTTGAGAAAGGTCGAGGCCCTCTAAGGGCTGTAGCACCAAGATGATGATGATGAGATGATGAATTATTGGTATATTCATTATTACTACTATTTCGGGTTTTTGGTGTTTTAACGCCCTCTAGGTAGGGATCAATGATTGAGCGTTCACTTAGCTGTAAGACCTCCTCTCTGTATCTAGCCTACTTATCTACCACTACATATCTATTATCCGACTTGATTTACCCACTAGTCACAATTTAAAGCCGCAATTCCTTGAACTCTATATTGCTTCGTTTAACATATTTCTCTGGGTAAGGTGTAAAGCATAAGTGTCACTTTAAGTGTCTATTCTGTTGTGAAAATTCATAGAATATGTTAACTTGGTAGATAGTTTCCTCTTGAGGTAAGACCATAGGTTACCTAGGAGTACCTACAGATGTTTAAATATAAAATTACCATGAAACTTAAATTATTTTGTTTGTTAAATTTTATATTAAAATTAGAGCCACCGATATTTTTGACAATTTTGCGAAAAAATTAATCATATTATTAATTATATTAATATGTAATTAATATTATTAGTATTATGTATAAACGTATCGTTTCAAGAAAGAAAATACAGTATAGCGCGAAATAAACAGTACTGAAACTGAAACATAGGTATCTCTTTGTGCGCGCTTTCATACCCAAATTAACTAGTACAGACCTGTCAAGTAATCCTTAAACAATTAATTAGTAAGGCCCAGTTGTTAAAAATTGTGTTAAGTACAGGGGAGAAAGTATTTCCGGTGGAGCATTATTTTCACCCATACGACATCGGACGACGTAATGGTGCAAGTCTGCCATACGTGTGTGATCAATTCTCACAACGGTTTAATAAACGTTTTCCAAGTAATGCTCTAATTTTGAATTTTACTGAAAAGTTCAAAATACGGGTCATGTATTGTGCTAATGAAAAGGAAATTTCGGGGCCTTTCAGGACAGTTAACAATAACCATCAACGTGTTTTTCATGTCAGCCAAACAAGGACAGCGTTGTATCTTGGCTTAAAAACAACTTCCTTTGAAGAATCCTGAAGGAGCTGGATACATTTTTCGTATGTGATTCAGGTACATCAACAATTACATCTTTGGGATTTTATCGCAGTAGAGTGGAATATTGCGCCAGAATTCTTTCGTTACAGTATGCGTTTTCATATTAAGCTCATTTTCAATTGCCGGGCCATGTCAATCGTCACAAAAATCGATTTCTGGGCTTTGCCAGACCAGAAGAAATTCAAGAAGTTCCTTTAGATAGTGCAAAAGTGAGTGTTTGGTGTGCAGTTTCAGGACACGAAATCATTGGTGCATACTTCATCGAAGAAAATGTGCAAGTCACACTTAATCAATAAAGGTACATACAAATTTTAACACGCTTTATCTCTGATCTACATAAATTTCTTCAAAGACATTTTCCAAGCAGATTCACTTCACGATTTACTGACTTCCCTTACCCTTCACATTCTTCGGAACACACGTTTCCAGACGCATACATTTGGGGCATGAATAAAACTGCCGTTTTTAAACGGATACCATCGATAAATTAAAGGATGCCATTAGCGCCTTCTTCGCGGACGTGAGGCAACTCTTATTCCATAACAAGACGAGAAACTTGGAACATCGGTATGAATTCTGTCTTGAGTGAGGAGTACATTTAGAACATGTACATGACACTAACGAATTTCAAAATTGACAGTTCTCGGTCAAACCAGTGATTATTTTGAAATACAAAAGCCTAACATATGTATAAACATATCACATATCACATAAATAATAATATTAATATATATATATATATTATATAATATATTATATATATATATATATAGTATTAAATATATATACAAAAGGAACATTTTTATTCTCGAAAGAGGAAGAGAGAGAAAATATATCTTGTCTCTCTCTAAAATATTATCTTACATAATATGTAATGGTTTCACAGATTCACTCCCATGCAAATTTCCAACGCCGACCATGCGTATAGAAGTATAACTTCAAAAATTGTAAATATTTGAAATCAATGTATCGCGTTGACTAAGCAATTTCAAGCTAAGATAAACATCAAGTATTTATTGGAAATAACTGACATCATGTGAGCTATACTTTACACTACATGCAGATCCTACCCTGTCGCGCAATTCAGAATGAAACTAAAATAGTTAATGTTTTTAAGATTTTTTTTTCGGAAATGCGTATTTCCAAATATCATGAAGTTTTGAAACATGTCTAATTTAATAAAGACTTATTATTTATTAAGCAGATATTTATATAGAAAATAATTATTTATTTTTAGATGGGTATTACAACTCACAACCCCAATACACTTGTCTTTCCTGCCACTATGACAAATATGCGCAGTGGTACCATAATGATGTCAGGCTGTGGTATATTAACAAATGGCAAGGGAAACTAGGAGAGAGTACGGTGACTTTAATTTGGACGAATTAACAGAAGGCGATCGAGTTGGAATGATGAGAAAACCGGATGGAAATTTGCATTATTTTATAAATGGTTTAGATCAAGTGTGTTGCTGCTCAAAGAGTTCCGTCCACTGTGTGGGGTGTTATTGATTTATATGGTATGACTATTAAGGTAAGACAACTATCAATTTTATTATTTCGGTACGGTGGTGGAAAATTGCAGTATTGGAGAATTTATATAAATTTGACATATCTTGAAGAAGCGGTCATATCTTAAAGAACATTTTTGAGGCATATTTTAAAACTATCTTGTTCTACTTAAATTTACATTGGGCTCAGAATTAAAAGTTGATTTTTAGAGTTCATCTTATATTTTATTTGTTTAAAGAGACCAATCACGGAAAATAATATTAATGGAAGATATTAACAGTAGAGTAGGAAGAAAAGAATGGATGAAATAGTAGGAAAATGCGGAGAAAACACTAGGAACAACAATACTGAAAGATTCATAGATTTATGCAACCAGAATCAACTCAAAATCTTAAATGGATACTTTCAACTGATACACAGCTATACATGGATTCAGGACACACGCCCTTCCGGTAGATGGAGGAGTATCACCGAGACGCAAGTCCTTATCTCTTGCCGTACTGCTCCACCATAGGCCGATCAGATACCAGCATATTCTAGACTAAGACGCAGATCATTTAGAATTTTAAACTGCTGCGTTAGCCTTTTTGTTTTATGTACACCGCTGGGGATCGAACTGACATCTCTCGCAGTGAAGCGAATGGGAAGACAGCCGTCCATCCCGCTTGGCTATCTGATCGACAATTTAATTAATCGATTATATTGTAACAAAACAAAAAACCCGACTGAGAGTACAAGATGTAAGAGTTCAGAGAAGCGCAACATGCGGTAGCGATCACTATTTATTACGTTCAAAAATACACTTCCCAATCCGAAGACAACAGAGAGAAACACATATAGACATAAACAAGACAGAAAAGATACAGGAACGAAGATACAACATCAGAAGCCTAAGATGAAGAAAAGTACCCAAGACTTATTCAAAAATAGATTGGATGAGAAGCTACAAACTAGATTGGATATAGAACATATAAAAAACTGTTTACACGAAGCAGCATTTGAAGCTATGGGATACTACATAAAACCCAAGGTAAACAAACATACTGGTGGGATAACGAAATAGAGGAAGAAATAAAATGTAAAAGACAACTATACCAACAATATTTAAGCTCCAAATCATTACAAGACAAAATAAAATATAAAGAAAAACAAGCAGAAGTACGAAGGAAAATCTCTAAGAAGAAAATGTGTCTTGGGAAAGAAACTGCCAACGAATAAATACTTATCTAGGAGGAACCAGAAGCACAGAAAGCTGGAAACTGATAAAAAAATGAGAAAAGAAAAGAATAAAGAAGTAATACAGAGCATAAAACCTGAAGACTGGAATTTCAAAGACTTGTAAGATAAGTCGATTTCAGACATAGAATCAAAACCAAGATAGAATTTCAATAGTCGGCTCGCCAATAAGATTAACAACAGAGGAAATTAAAAATGTATGTAAACAGCTGAAGAGGAACAAAGCACCCGGCCAGGGATATACCCGGAGAATTGTTTAAGTAGTGGAATGAACAAATTGTACGAATGTCTTCGACAACTATTTCAAGAATGCATAAACACAAGCGAAATCCCTACGGAATGGAAGATATCATACCTCAGTACTATACATAAAAAGGGTGATAAATTGTTACCGAGGAATAGCTGTAACCGGATCTATGAGTCGAATATATGGAAAGGTTTTAAAGAACCGAATCGAGAGAGAATACTTAGATTATGAAGCAGAAGAACAAGCAGGATTTCGTACGGGTCGATCCACTATTGACCACATTTTCTCCTTAACCCAGATAATAGAAAAAAAGATGGCACGGAATCAAGAGATTCATATGTTGTTCGTCGACCTACGGAAAGCCTACGACAGCGTTCCACTGAAGAAGCTGTGGCAATCAATGGAAAGCACAAATATTAATATAGAATTAATAAAAGCCGTCAAAGTGCTATACAACCAACCAATAACAAAAGTAAAAGCAGGAACATAAATAACAACAGGATTAAGGCAAAGGATGTTGTCTGTCCCCCACTTTATTTAAAATATACCTCGAAAGTGCTTTAAAAAGATGGAAACAAAAATGCACGACAATGAGGATACAGCTGAGAAACACAAAGGTTTTTCAAATCTTTCTTTAAGCTGCTGGGAAATATTATCTATTATTTCGCAAAAAAGTCGATTATAAGATATTTTTGTGTCGCCTACAATTCTAATGCGTTTTCTCTTGGGTTCCATCTCTTCGAGATCGCAAGTTTTTTGCCACATGATATCAAATTACCTCCCTCTGTCTGTTGATTTGGGCTTATTTTTAGTCTATAGGATTGCCGATATTGGGAAACTGTTTTTTACTCACCTCCCATTGTAGTTCCATCTGGTGAGAGCTGCTCGAGGGAACCTTTTCTGAAGAATGACATCTAAAGCATGTGTCCTTTTGGACGATGTAGAAAAAAAGCAGCCATTCCGCTCAAGGTTTAGAAAAGTCTTATTGAGTGCGACTGATTGCGCTAGAACTAAATTTAGCCTGTATGCAAAGCAGTGCACAAAAATTGCATTTTGAAACCTCTCCTTAATTTTGGTTTGAAGTCCTCCCCGATGCCCAGCCATTACGGCAGCTCCATCATAACTTTGAGCGACAAGTTTGGAACCACAGTTTAGTTCCTCAACTATATTACAAACATATCTATATATACCCTCTGCCAATCTATCTGCAGTTATATCCAAAAATCCCCAAAATCGTTCTTGTATTTCACCATTATTTTTGATGTAACGCAGAACAACCGACAATTGACTCAAATTGACGATATCTGTAGTTTCATCTAAAACAATGGAAATAAATTGTGCTTCTTTTATTTCTTCTTTGATTTTTTGCAGAACAATATCTGCCACAGACTTGATCAAATCGTTTTGTATCCTATTCGAGATACCTTGAAATACAGTAGATTGATCTAAATGACTTTTTAGTAGTTCCGTCATAATCAGATAAAAAATTTGCTAAATCCACAAAATTTCTCCTATTTACAGATTCATAATTTTCATTATGCCAACACGTGAAACACAGTCAAAACTACTCGAATTAATATAAATGCATAAATGCAAAACACGGCAAACACGCTTTATTACAATGTGATATGCGAACTACTCCAGTCGCCTTGCCTATGATAAGTGATAAGCAAATCTAATATTACTTATTGCATCCAATATTCTTAAAAATGCCGGTCTAAACCTATACAAATCGGGCCCTGGTCCGAGAGTTGACGTGTGCTGCCGAATTGAAGCGATGCTAGCGCGAGCAGAATGGTATTGGTTTCAGAAAATGCATCCAAAGATATTACAGTCACCGTGCGCTGTTGCCAGTAATTGTCATTCGTAAAGTAATTTAATGATTTCTTGAAAAACATATTTTATCTTTAAATATTTGAATTATTACAGATCAATTTGAAATATGGTTATGTAGTTTTAACTACTGATAATAAATTTTAGATTTTAGGGGATGCAATGCATCCCTTGCATCCATGCACCGCACGCTCCTGGTGGCTGTCTCGGGTCTTGTTTTCTGAGGCATATGTCATTATTGGTCTTACATTGGCTTTATAAATTCTTGATTTCATCTCAGTGTTTATGTGTCTGTTTCCTGCCAGTCAATATGCTTTTTGTACTGAATCTCTCACTTCTTTGTCCAGGTTTCCATAGCTAGACAGTGGTAATTCTCAGGTATTTTATTTCCATTACTTCAATACTGATGCCATCAATTTTTTATTTTACATCTGGTTGGTTCTTTGCTGACTAGTATTGTTTTAGTTTTCTGAGATGAGATTATCATATTAAATTCTTTTACTCTCATGTTAAATCTGTGGACCAGTCTTTGCAGACTATCTTCATCTTAGGCTATCAGTATTGCGTCGTCTGCGTAACAGAGTATTTTGATTTCTTTGTTTACCATTCTGTATCCTCTTCCTTTGTTAACGGTTTTGATGATTTCATCCATGATCAAATTGAAGAGCATGGGGCTTAATGAATCCCCTTCTCTTATTCCGCTGCCTATTTCTATAGGTTCTGTAAGTTGTCCGTCTATTCTGACTTCCATTTTGTTGTTTTGATAGATGTTTTCGATAGTTTTTATAATATTTAGGGGAGCTTCTCTATTATACATAAGATGGATTACATCTTTGAGTCTTACTCTGTCAAACGCTTTCTTTAGGTCAATCAGACACAGAAATTCTGGTCTATTATACTCTAGCGATTTCTCTATGTATTATATGATGTACTATGTATTATATCAACATGAATCGAATCACGTAAAAACCAATTTTTACTAAAAAGTAGTTTTTACCGACTTATCATTTTGGAGTACTCAATTATTTATATGTGGCCCAAGAGAAAAGAAGATTGCTAGAAATATCACAAATAAAATAATTTTACATTCAAGCTATATTTATTACTAGCCAAATCATAAATTTAACTGGACATATTAATTTACATCTTACAAGCAGGAATGTCCATTACAATTTAATACCTTCTAACATCTTTATATAATGTTAACGGGATAAAGGAATTTAAAAATGCTAAAAGTTGATTTGAAATCGAGACATTTATTAAATATAAACATTCTTTTTTAGGTATCTATAGTGGAACGAGATGAACGTGAAGAGCAAAATCTGATCACTCGTAAAAATACGCGAGATCAGCAAATTCACCTTCCCGAACCCAGTTCCCTCCAAGATTTCTACGATCGTCTTACGTTTCATCCAAACTGTGGTACCCATGCAGAAGTTATCAATAATAACAGAACTGCTCATCGGCCGAATGCTGCTGACGATTTTAATAACGGAGTAGTCCTGACGGCTCGACCTCTTAAAACAGGGGAATTGTTTGAAGTAAGATTGGATAGAGTCGTTACTAAATGGGCAGGATCTATAGAGATCGGTGTAACGACACATAGCGCAGTTGATTTGGATTTTCCATTCACTATGACTAATGTTAGGTAAGTTAAATATAGTAGTTTTGAGAGTCTTTCCTGTTGTCTATCCTGGAGTCCTGTCCTGGAGTCTCCCTGTTGTTCTGATGTGCTTCCTTAAAAATAGCTTCGCTGTACAGATTGAATAACAATGGGTACAGCACACAACCCTGTCTAACGCCTCTTTTGATTTCTATAGTTTCTGTATCGACATTTTCCATTCTAACCTTTGCTTTTTGATTCCAGTACAGATTGATAATACCCGTCTATATCTCGTTGCTATCCATCATTCTTTTCTTTTAGAGCAGTCTGTTAACGAGTTTCTGATGTCCTGTACTCTATCAAAAGTCCTTTTGATATATCTATAAAGCAGACATAGAGATCCTGGTTCATATCTAGTCGTCTTTGCGCGAGAACGTTAAAAGCGAACAGAGCCTTTCTCGTTCCTAGTCCCCCTCTGAATCCAAATTGGGTAAAAGCCCCTGAGCCAATGAAAACATCGGATATCGCTATTATGACAAATCACAATGCGTTATATAAGATATAACAATATTTGCCTGAGCGACCGAAACCATAAAGTAATTTATCCGAAAAAATTTCGTTTCGACCGCCCAGTGGTTTACACTTGGGTAAGTAGGTATAATATTTTATTTTTAAACCAGCGTTGTGACTTCACCAGTTTTCTTTCTAAACTTCTTTTACCATTTTACCAAGATGTTTTTAAAACGGGACTTTTGCGGTGTGATAATAATTCTGCAGCTGAAGAGCCTGTGTAACTCTGTAATCAATTGGAAGATTTACAAAGCTGTAAAATATTTACAAAAGTAAATCGATATGCTTCCAACCATAGACAAAATTACACAGAATAACTTACAAAGAATTTTCAGCTATCAATATGATGGAAATGAAGTATAAAAAAAGTTTCAAGTCAGGAACAGAGTGGCCCAAAAGTCATAATTGTACAAAATTTGAGGTACACCTATTTTGGGATACGGAGATTCCATATTTGATATTTACAATGTTGCCAGATTTGCCGTTTTTCTTATATTATTAGTAACTTTGGTTTTTCAAATACATCACCCTGTATATTCAGTCATTATTGGAATCTCCTATTCAATACGACTTCAACCATATGTAACACTTATGATTTTATGTAATCTGGAAGGTCATAAATACATAAAACCGAAGTCTGGCAACGCCTAAATTGTTTCAATAAATTTTTTAATACTAACTATTTTCAAATACATCAAAACGTAACAATTGATAGTTTAGAACATTTTTTAACATAGTAGTTACGTTATTGTTCAAAATGTGCTCAATTTGTGAGTTGACAGCACCCTAATCGATGGTAGAAGGCGTCTACGACATTTCTCCATGATTGTCTAGAAATTATTCGAGATTCATTGATAATTCGTTGCCTTAGCTCTGCAAGACTTGCTGGTTAAGTTTTGTAAACTGAATTTTTCAAGGATCCCTAATAAAAATAATCTTTAGGATTGAAATCGGGTGAACGTGGAGGCCATTCAATTCTACCTTGTCTACCAATTTATCGTCCAGGAAATATCTCATCTAAATATCGCTGAACATTTACACCAACTATCTGACGCTAAATTTCTTTCGACAAAACATGACCCAATTGAATAAGTAACTACTATATCTGACCATGCATTTAATTTTTGTTGTCTTTGAGTATGGTTTTCACGCATTCAGTCTTCAGTGTGAATTTACGTCACACCAGTACCTTAAATTGTGATTTACACTTCCGTACAGTGTAAAAGTTGCTTCATTGGAAAAACATATTCTGTTAACGAAATTTTAATAATTTTCAATTTTATCCATCATTACCTCAGTAAACTCTAATCTACGACCAAAGTCATCTTCACTTAATTCTTGCAATAAGTTAATTTTGTATGATTTAAATTTATTTTTACGTAATAAACGTAAGACTGAAGAATGACCTACATCATGTACTTGTGCAACCTTGCCTGGGGATGTATGTGGATCTTCAACAAAACTTTGCTTATATCTGAAGTTTTGTTATCATTGATAACTCGTTTCGGTCAACCTGATCGGTATCTATCTTTTACTTCTCCAGATTCCTCAAATCGCCTTACAGTTTTTTGTACCGTCGTCTTATGAATAGGAGAACGGTTTAGAGAACGGTATTTTATAGAAGCAATTTAAATTGCAGAACTTTTTGAACCACAACTACTGTCACTTTTAGTTCATTATTTAAATGGTGAACAAATGTCAAAATCACAGCATTCTTCATTTAAATATTTAAATTTATTAAAATCTACATATTTTGCACTGTTTTATGTATTTAAGATCTTTCAGACTACATAAAATCAAGTGAACATATGGTTGAACTCGTATTGAATAGCTGAACTCGTGTGAAATTCACACTGAATGCGTGAAAACCATACTCAAAGACCACAAAAATTAAATGTATGGTCAGTTATAGTAGATACTTATTTAATTAGGCAATTTTTTATCGAAAGAAATTTAACGTCAGATAGTTGGTGTAAATGTTTACCGTTATTTAGATGAGATATTTCTCGGACGATAAATTGGTAGACAAGGTAGAATTGAATGGCCTCCACGTTCACCCGATCTCAATCCTTAAGATTATTTTTATTAGAGATACTTGAAAAATTCAGTTTACAAAACTTAACCAGCAAGTCTTGCATAGCTAACTCAATGAATTATCGATGAATCTCGAATAATTTCTAGACAATCATGGAGCAATGTGGTAGACGCATTCTACCATCGGTTAGAGTGCTGTCAACTCACAAATGGAGCACATTTTGAACACTTAATAACGTAACTATTATGTTAAAAAATATTCTAAACTATCAATTGTTACGTTTTAATGTATTTGAAAATAGTTAGTATTAAAAAATGTATTGAAACAATTTAGGCCTTGCCAGACTTCTGTTTTATGTATTTAAGACCTTCCAGACTACATAAAATCATAAGTGTTACATATGATTGAACTCGTATTTAATAGATTCCAATAATGACTGAATATATAGGGTGATGCATTTGAAAAACCAAAGTTACTAGTAATATAAGAGAAACTGAAAATCTGGCAACATTGCAAATACCAAATATGGAATCTCCGTATCCCAAAATAGGCGTATCTCAAATTTTGTATAATTATGTCTAGTAATTTACGAGATAATTAGCCGTTTCCAGACTTTTTTGCCACTCTGTATGTAAACATTCAATGTTTGTTTAAAGAGAAAACAAAAGTTAGTTTTTATAAAACTCACAAAAAACGGGAGTACGTAAAAATATGTAAAAAAAAACAGTAAACTTTATAATTGTACGAAGATACTTTTAAAATGTGGCACCCGTGGTGTGATAATAATTCTGCAGCTGAAGAGCCAGTGGAGACCTCTAATCAATTGGAATATTTACAAAGCTGTGTAGTAAAACGTAATCGACATTTCTAATACCTCTCTGATGATCCCAAACATATGCTGAAACATGTTTATGAAGGATTGTGTTCTGAATTGTCTAAATCAGAGGCAATTGCAGAAACACGTTTTTTAATCAGTGTCCAAAGCAACCTGATGCAAGATTATAGGAGAAACATCTTTTTCTAGACAGAGGAGACAGGATTGTGGTAAATTCAGACAAATAGAACCGCACTTAAAGGAACTTATAATCAGAACAATATACAAAATTGATATTTTGGCGGCTAATATTTTTCCAACTATTGAAAGCTTTCGAAGTGAACTGGTTCGAAAGGACATTCTTTCATGTTCAGCAGCAACACTTTGATAATTTCTTAAAACCCATAATTTTAAGTAAAAGACTATAGCGTTAAACACTAATGGAAAGTACTAGAATAATTATTTCTTTAAGAAACAATTATATCAGACAGATAACTGGGTATCAAAAAATGAAACGAAATGTTGTTTATTTAGATGAGGCATGGTGTGATACTCATGACAGGACAGATAATTATAATTTTACGCTGCAATGGAGAAAATAGATGGATCGACGATGTATTATTAATACCTACAAAAAAAAATTAAAGACGCGTCTCTAGAGTATCGTGAGGACATGGAAAGTTTAATTTTTCGAATCATATCATTTAAGATTAATGAGAAAATTTCAAATATTACTTGAAACAAATTACAATTTCAAGAATTTTTATTTGAGAAAAATTTGTATTTGAGGCATCATATAGTAAAAAGCAATTGTTGGAGGTTGTTTATAGTAGACAGTACCAGAAGGAATATGTTGTTGATAACTGTACTCGCAGTAATGGACATACCGTGCTTAGACTTCCTCCTTATTATTATACATTGAACCCAATAGAGTTAATAGAGACTCAACTAGAAGGAAATGTAAGAAGAAGAAACGTGGCTCCTAAATTTTCGTCTACTGTTCTCCAGATAATTAGAAGAGAAGTCACAAAGATCACAGCAACCAACTGGAAAAAGTAATCAAACATATAATCGCAGTGGAAAATGACTATGTTAAATATTTACCAGCATTAACCAAATTACGTAAGTACGAAGTACTTACTTCGAACTAGGTATTAGTTGAAACCTTTATTTTTATTGTAAATGTAGATATTCTCGTTTTGCTTATATATCTTTTGAAAATAGGGTACACTTCATGATAAAACAAAAATGTACAAACTATTTAATTTAAAATACTCAAAGTACAGGTTAGGTTATTATAAAATACCTGCTAGGTATATAAAAAAGATGTTCATAAAAGTTTTAGACCTCTTACCCATTTTAAAATTATTGAGGTACTAAGTCTTCTCTCACACAGTGTCAAATCAAAGTTGTGGTTATTTAATAGAACACCCTGTATGTTATCAGGGATAAAATGTGCTCATAAGTTTTAAAACTTATGAGAAGTTGTGTTAATAAAACATGAGAACTTATGAGAAGTTGTACATAAAAAAGTTTGTTTAATTGTAGGTGATAATTACTTTTATTAACAATTTTTATAGATATTATCATGATACTATGACTAACAAGATAGGATCTTCCAGTAGCACAAAATCGATCGTGTTCGCGCATGCCGTCATTGGAGAGTCCAATTAGAATTTTTGTTAAAGTTAAATGGGATTTGTATGCATTCTGTGATGAAATTACTAGACGAAAATAAGTTAAGAAGTTCAATAATTACAATAATCGTACACATAAGGATATCTCCAAACTATTTATTAAAGATTATTTATTGACACATACAAAAAACTGACATTTCGAACGTGCAACTCTCCAATGACGTCACGACTTATGCGCAATATCTTATCTTCTTGTCATAGTATAATGGATATTATTATTTTACAATAAGTTCTGCTCAGTTGAGTCGATTTGTGTTATCACTCCCTAGATATATCACAGAAGTTAACAACACCGATATTTTTTATTTAAACTTTATAGAAAATAAAACTTTTTGTTAAATAAAAATAAAAACTTTTATTTAATTTAAAATTAGATATCTAGGCTACTGTTCAGTAGAGTAATGGTAACTCTAACATTCTTGCCAATTTGCTAGTATCTTTCTCGCTCTTGTTCCTATAAATTTTCCAACGAAATTACTTCATATACTATCAAGCCTGCTTTAAAAAATGATTATTTGTAGTGTAAATCTCACGTACATATTATACAAATTTTCATATGAGACTGAAATACATATAAGAGATTATTTTTGTGAAATATTATGGTAGAACTATATATACTTTCTATTTTATCAGATCTGGAACGTGGATGATGACTGGAAGTGGCATAATGCACAATGGAACAATAGTATTAGAGCAGTATGGAGTCAATCTGGATCGACTCCAAGTTGGAGATCGCGTAGGCGTTTTGAGGAAGGAGAACGGCTTGTTACATTTTTTTGTTAACGGTGTAGATCAAGGATGTGCTGCATCAAATGTCCCAGAAAAAATTTATGGAGTTATAGGTACCTTATTTTTATGATTTATATGCCAATGCATTACTTTGCATATTTCGTTATTTCAGATTTATATGGGCAAGCTGTAGAAGCAACTATAATTGATGCCTACGACTATGCATCACCAGATACATTAAATTCTAGTCTTTCAAATACTACACTATATAGGTAAGCAGCATGATTAAGAGTTTATACAAGATTGCTTGTATCAAATATCGTCGGGTTACTGCCAAAACCAGAGGAAAGCCATTAATATCCACCGCCAATTATAAACATTTACAGTTTAAGACCATTCATAATTTTTATTTCAGATTTTTTTGAACTCGTTTGTTGGACTAGAAATCGAAACGTCAAAGCAAATGTAAAATGTAATTTTTGTTTCTCGCTTCCTAGTTTCCACCGTTTTTTATCCCACCAATAATTGGCCATGAATTTTCTGATACCTTCCAGCTATGTCTTTCTCGAGAATCCTCTTCTTCTCTGCACTGGTCTCTACTCCATCATTTTCGTTGGCTACCTGTTTTCATTCGTACGGCTTACGTGTTCCGTACCATCTCAAATTCTTGGTTCAATGGTGTCAATTATTGTTATCCCAATACTCATTTTTTCCATATCTCGACATTTGTAAAATGTTAGCCTATAGCAACGTGTCAAAAATCCCATTTCCATTGACCGTAACTTCTTTTTTAAACATTCTGTCATTTGCTAGACCACAGCTCTATAAGTTACGATACTTTCGATTATGGTCTTGTAGATTTTGATTTTGTATCTTGTCTAATTTCTGTATTCCGCAGCACGCAATTTAGTTGTTTTGACTATGCTTACCATGGCCAATTCGTTTCTTCATTTTTGTCTCACTAGAGCCATCTTTAGAAATTGTAACTCCAAGGTACTTGTATTACTCAACATTCCTAACAGTGGTCCTCTCAATGGTCTAGCACTAGATTATTTCGATCTTCTTTTCCAACAATTAGAGATTCGGTCTTTTTCATATTTATTGTCAAACCCCAAGTCTTATATTCTTCATCCAACTTTTTAATCATATATCTTAAGATCATCTTCGTCATCAGCCAGTATTACCTGATCGTCAGCAATGTGCAAAGTGAATAGTTTGTCGTCAACTATAGATATACTATAGTGCTGAATTTAAATAAATTTTATCCTTTAGTAATTGGAAATTGTTCAGAAACTTTTTGCTTACCTTAACACTACGTGTTATATTTTAACAGTTTGAATTATTGGGTACAGTTTGAATTTTTGGGAATTTTTCCAATTAATCAAATATTTTTAGCGATTTAAGATTTCATCATATCCACGGAAAGAACGCCAGGATAGTCAATAATGGTTTAACAGCTCTTAGGCCCAGACCTTTGGCTGAATTTAATGACGCAATAGTATTTTCTAGTCGACCTCTAAGAGATGGAGAATTATTTGAAATATGTTTGGATAGCATAGTTGACAGGTGGTCAGGAAGCATAGAACTAGGTAAAATTTGATAAAATTTAATAAATAATATTATGGCTAATTTAGAATTTATTTATTTATAATACAAGACATCCTCATTAATAGACTAAAACACGATACATGCTTAAGCGGTAGTCTAAAAATTTAACACCAATAAAAAACTACTTAATATTATGAGTATTGATACATTGTTTACTTACTCGAAAAGTAGCTCAGTGATGTGTTAATAACGAACAAGAGGATTACATCTAAGATGTAAAAATTGATCCAAAATGTGTATTAAACTAAAATATAGATTTTAAATTTCCAGTTTTTTCTTTTTGATTGTTATGTTCGGGTATTCTAATATTATCCACATATATTTAATTATTAATAATACTAATTATACAATTCATTTATTAGGAGTTACCTCTGTTCGACCTGACGAAATAGATCTGCCAAGTACAGCAACTGACTTATATCGAGACACTTGGATGCTCAGTGGATCGTCCATAATGATTAACGGCAAAACGATAAAGAACAACTATTCATGCGATCTTGATGTATTAACTTCAGGAATCAAACTTGGAGTCATGAGATCCGCCGATAAATCTCTGGAGTTTTACAAAAATGGCGTTGCACAAGGGGTTGCATGTGTTGTGCCTCACAATAATATTTATGCTGTTGTTGATTTGTATGGTCAATGTGCTCAAGTCAGTATTCCATGTGCTACTCCTACTGGTGCGCTTACAACAGCAGGTAATACTTTTTGTTGAATTAATAACACAACACTATTTTTAATTTCCACATAATATCGTCAACTTGACTGAATGTACAAACAATTTGTATACCTATCTAAGAGAAGATTTATTAGTAAATTCCTTTAGCCATAGTAGAGTCTTTAAGTGTCTGTTTATTAAGAATTAAAGCTGCACGTTTTGCAAAATTCAATCTGCATATCATAATAAAGAGTTAGAAATTGGTCACTCTAAAAAACTTATTTCTTGCCAAATTAGAACTATTTGCTTTAATAAATTCACTTTCTAAGATAGAAAAAAACTCTTAAATACGTTTCCAAGAGGTTTTAATCGTTTTTAAAGGACTTCGGCACTTTTCTTCTGCAAAAGTAGTTTCAGTTAAATTGGCTGAAACTTTGCAGAAAAGACTCAAAAATGAATTGTTTGTGAGTTATAGAGGTTCAAAGTGTCTGATTTTAGTCCTTTTGAATAATACATATTTGTATAATATACAGCGTATTAGTAAACAGGTATGACCAACTACAGGGAGTGATTCTGTATAAAAAATAATGACAGTTTGCTATATAAATGTATGCCCGCAAATGCTTCCTTTTTCGAGATACGGGGTGTTGAAATTGTTGTTAAAAACTACGATTTATTTATCGTCAAATTTCATTTGCACATCTTAACCAGTTTCAGGGCAATAAATAAATCGTTAATATGTAAGAAAAATTTCAACATCCCCTATCTCGGAAAAGGAAGTATTTTCGGACATACGATTATATAGCAAACTATATATCGGTGGTCCGGTAAGTACTTAACCTACAAAATTAAAATGAAAATTTTGGAAAAGTGGAAATTTGTTTCTCAACATAGTCTCCTCTAGAAGTTAATTTAATTAGTTAGTTAGGTGCCCACGCCTCACCTCTTATTTGAAATCTTGTAAAATCAAATACACGCAGATTTTTATACGCGAAGAATACGATGATCGGATGTCCAGTCCCCTTTAACTTAGTGAATTTGTTAAAGAGCAATTCTCAGTCTGTTACCCGGCACATTAAGCTAATTTGTAGTATAGGTTTATGATAAACACATCGAGCAAAAATACAAAAGAGGGAATGTAAAGGTAGTGGGGGTAAAAATATTGTTAGACAGGAAGTGCCATCTTGAGAGGCCAAATTAAACAAGGAAAGAAAGTCTTTCCTTGTTTAATAAATTAAATTTAGTTGGGTTATGTTATTGTTTGTCCCAACTGTCACATGAAATCTTATTTATATTGAAGTTTTTTAACAATTGTTTCACATTTTAGAATGTTATCGTTAATATTTAATTAAAGCTTTCTCGTCTAAGACAAATTATGTCGGAAAAGTGTTGGAAAATTTAAATTTGGCGCATTTGCATTTCCGGATATGTCCGCCATCAGAGGCCACTTTTTGGTCTCCTTTTCATAACGATTAGATTCCCTCTTTTGTCTTTTTGCTCGATGGATAAACAGCTAAATAAAACAATTCACTTGATACTTTTATAAAGCAACTGAAGAATAAGAACAAAGACATATCTGAATACAGCTATTGAAGATTATAAAAATACTCTCCCCCATATTTTGTATTTATTCATTTTGCTGCTTGAACTTACCATTTATTTAGTTATTTATTTATAATGCCGATCTTTTACTTAAGGAATAGAAACATCTCATCGGTCTGATACATCTGCTTCTCTTCAAGCTACTAGCGTCGTTCAACCTCCTATCGAATCCGATCTTCACCGTTTCTCAGAAATCCATAGTAAAGGAGTCACTTTAGATGAAAGAGGCCGGCTGGCAACCAGGTCTAAAGATTTCAGTAGTTCCATAGTATTTAGTGCTACACCTCTTCACCAAGATGAAATGTTCGAGATATCTTTGATGAGTATTTCGAAACACATGGCCGGTACCTTATCTGTTGGAGTAACAGAAGTGACACCTGCCCTTTTTTCTAACACCGTTCCTGCTAAATGTTATTATCTCAGCGGGACTGAATTGCGATATCAAAATAAGGTAAGTTACACCATAATTATGATAATATGTGTCCAAGTAAAACAAAGGATTGGTACCTGAATTGCATGTTGAGTACTATAAATTCTCCCTTATAATATGTGGATTGACTTTTAAGATTCTATCTAAATAATTAAATATACACTTCATTTAATTTACATACCGATGCACGTCCTCGGTGTCATAGCCCGTGACGTCACATAATACCAACACGAAATATTTAGGTGGTAGGTGTGTTCTTTTTTATAATCACATTGCCGAGTACACTGTCATTACAGCCACTAGACATAATTTATTATATACGCGTAGAAATAATATTTAAAAATTTCTATTAATGTTAACTTAAAGAAATACGCAATAATGTGTTTCATTTAATTTGTATAAATGCATTGTAAAACGTTTTTATGAAGAACATTTGTTCGGAACACACTAACTGTAATCGAACGAAGGTGAAATTTTGACATAAATTGGTAACACTTATTTGACAGTTGCGGCGTTGACACTTTTTGTACTTTATTATTTTTAATTTTAAAGTGAATACCTCTTGTTTTATGTTTTTACCTATTTAATAAAATCTGTTCTTTTTAGAACAAAATTAGTGTGTTTTATTTCAAAAATGTCACATAAGAATTTAAATAGTCGTTTTAAAGAGATGTTAATACTGTTGCAATAATTATATGATCTATTTGATTTAAAATGGAGTCAGCATTTTTTTATACTTTGGCAACAATATCAACTTCGATCTCTGACGTAGATAATGACGTGCATCGGTATGTAAATTAGATGAAGTATATCTAAATATCTATCTAAATAATTTAATTAAACTAAATGAAAAACCATCGCTTCGTGCTTAGACGATAAGAAAGCTATGCTTTCCTTCTTCGGTCACTCCCGGAGTGCCACATCCCGTTTTTGAAGTGAATACTTCTTATCCCTCGGTTTTGCAAGCTACCGAAATCCTATTTAACTATAAATTATAAAAATTTATAAAAAATAAATTAAATTAAATCAAATTAATTAAAATTAAATGACATTTAATAAAATTAAATAAAATTAAACCAAATAAACACAAGTTTATTTTAGAAATTTTATAGTCGTTTGTATATAAGTATTTACAAATGAAAAGTTTTCAATGAAAATGAATTAATATATCCTTCCATTATTCATGATTATTTTTACAATATAATGATAATCAAAATGAAATAATTCTCTATTATACTTAACAAATTTTAAAAATTACTAAAATCGTTCAACAATATTTTTAAAGAAGAAAAAAAGACTTTTTGAATATTATAGAACTTAAATGTGTTACCCTAAGATCCCATTGCAGGATCACTACATTCATAACGTATTTCAACCAAAGTCGCATTTTCACAAACATTGATAATAGGTTGCCAGTCGAAAAGTGGCCGCAAATATATTCAATTAATAGTAATTAATTTTCGACAAAAATGTTATTTTATTCATTTATTTTTTAAATAAAATACGCTGCTCGTGACGTATATGCATGTTTTTTATATAAAAAAGCTATTTTTTTTTCTTAATATGATAATATAATATTTTCTTAGAAAAAGTAGTCGAATATTAGAGTTGTCAGCTGTTAAAAACGCGTATCAAAGATAAAATAAAACATAGCTAGTGCGCAATGCTACTGGTTTGAGGTGTCAGTTGTGCGAGTTTTTAAAGCAGGCGTCGGTAGATATATAATAATATACATATTATCACTTGTCAACCAGTGTCGTTGCGCCCTAACTCTATTTCATTTTATTTTTGATACTTCTCGCTTTTAACAGCTGGCAACCCTAATTTTCCACCATTTTTTCTTTATAAGAAGTATTCGCTTCTTCGGCACTCCCCTAGTGCTACTTTTTTTATTTTATCGCTTTGATGTAGATTTAATGGTGGTAAACAAATAACAATCAGACGGTACCTGGTCAATAAGGTGGGTTGGGCCGCCTTGGACATGTGTCTATCATTTCTAAATTATATGTGAAGATAAATCATATGTAAATTCCACTATTACAGAGCAGCGTTATTGTACCATTAACGTTAGAATTAATAGAAATCCAACTTACAAAGATTTATGTATTAACTAGAAGTTTGTAAAATTACGCTAAACATGTAGTTTTCGACATTTATTTAAGTATTACTTACATACTACTATTTATAATAGTTTAATATTTTAATACTTTAATATTTTCAGATACTTCAATTTTTCACTCCTAGTCTGAACTGGCTAAATTGTAACGATAGAATAGGGTTGTTAAAGACATCAGATAGTACTGTTAAAGTCTTCATAAATGGAGAAGAATTGTCCATCAGTTTTCCACCGTTATCTGAGACAATATATGCTGTCTTTGATTTAAGAGGTTCGTGTGCTGAAATAGGTGTCACTAGTCATAAAGCCAACATGTCGCCATTAAACAGTGTCAGGTAAGAATTTACTGAATTATTGAAAGTTATAGAATCAGTTGTAAATAATGCTTCATTAATTTGTGCAAAAATTTGAATGCCAATATGATGGTTTAACGATATAATAACTTTATGAGATATAAGTTGTATTACTTCAATATTTAGAATTGAGTTTTGATAATTATTTTAATTCACCTTGACATTTTTTATGGAATTGTTAGTAACTTCAAGAAGAATGATGGGGATGCGGGAAGCGTTAGGTCTTATATATTCTACGTTAGTGAAGAAATTGTCGTTTTATCACATTTTTATAATTCCACAACCCTTTTCTTATATCTAACACAGGCCCGTCCCAGGACGGGATGATTATGTGATATTAAGCATTAACAAAATAAATTGAGTAACCCGAACGATAAGCATATACTTACTGAGTAAGAAAATCCCAAAATTTTCACCAATTTTTTTCGTGAACTTGTAACTATTGTACAGTGGTATTACTTGCATTCTTGCTATATGGCCTGCCCAACTCAATTTTAGTTCCGCTATGCGGTTCACAACATCAGCAATACTCGTCTTTCTTCGCAGATCTTCGTTTCTTATTCAGTCCCGCAACGTCACTCCCAGTACCGTTCCATTCGTCTCTGTATCACTCTCAATTTCGAAGCCGTAGTCTTGGTTAGAGTCATAGTTTCCGCCCCATAGGTCATGACTGATAATACGCATTGGTCAAATACTTTTCTTCTTAGGCTAATTGGTATGTTGAAGAATTTAAGGGACTGGTTTAAATGCAGTTCTATAGACCTCTTCAGAGCAGCAGTAGATAGAGTAAAGATAGTGATGATGATATCCAACCTCCGATTGGGAGACGGCAGCTAAAGAAGAAGAAGATATGTTGGCCCTAAGTGTTTCTCGCAGTTTTCCAAAGGCTGCCCACGCTAAAGTAATTCGTCTGTGAATTTCGCATGTTTGGTTATCCCTGCTGATTTTTATTTCATGACCCAAATACGTATATTTCTCCACCAGTTCTACCACTTTATGTTAAATAGTTAAATGATTATTGGGGAACATATTTGTCATAAACTTTTTTGTCATATAAAATTTTGTCTTATATATTCTACGTTAGTGACGAAATTGTCGTTTTATCACATTTTTGTAATTCCACAACCCTTTTCTTTTATCTAACACAGGCCCGTCCCAGGACGGGATGATTATGTGATATTAAGCATTAACAAAATAAATTGAGTAACCTGAACGATAAGCATATACTTATTGAGTAAGAAAATCCCAAAATTTTCACCAATTTTTTTCGTGAACTTGTAACTACTGTACAGTGGTACAGTAAAAATTAAATAAAGTTAAAAAATATTATAAAAATTGAATAAAATGATATAAAAATTAAATAAAATCAAATACAATTAGGTAAAATTAAGTCAAATAAAATCGAATCAATTCGAAAAATATTATACATTTTAACAAATTTTGAAGATTACTAAAATCATAAAACAAAATTTTTAAAGAAAAAACTTAAGATTTTTTAAATATAAAGAACTTAACTGCGTGGTGTTACGATAAAAAATATATTAACAATTCAGTAATATTATTTATTATTTATAAAGCTCAACAGGCCTTAAAGGCCTAGCGTTGAAAACTTTATTTTCCTATTACAATTACTATTTACGTGTGTTCATATAAAATATATTTTAAAATTTCTTATTAGTATACAATTTAGTAATGTCGGCACTCTCCAAGTGCCACGCGCCCTTTTTTTTATTCGTTTTTAAATTTTTCGTTGCATAATTTACCACAAATTGTATGATCAAAAGAGATATTAAATCATTAGTGTGATTTCTTTGACAACTAATTAAATATTGGTGGGTTCCGAACTAAATTTTACGTTTATGTTATAGATAAGTAATTTGACGTTAAAAGACGGTTAAATTTTATTCTATGAATAAATGTGTATCCTCCAGATAACTATCTGTCAGATAGGATAATATTTATCTGGAGGTGAAAAGACTTACCCTTTCATGCAAGAAGTTTATGAGGTTTGAAAGTTTATTGATCATAAAATATTGGCTGCGAACTTGGTCCTCGGTAAAAAATATAATACAAAACTCGAGCTTTCCCAACAAATGAATTGTCAAACTAGAATTACGCTGATTGTTGTACGTAGATCGATTTCATAAGACGACTTTACGCAAAAGTTTAGCGATTCTACAAAAGTGACTTATTTGTTATGAAAGTTGTAAAATGAACTAAAATGTTGTTCGTTCTAGCCTTAAATATGAGAAAGTCAGAAAAAATTGAGTGGACTGACTGTAGTTGGCAATTTAGTAGATCTACAGTCGCATAGTGACTGGCAAAATCACTGGTTAATACATAAAACTGTAATTTTTAGGTTACAAGATAGTATAGAATTAGTACTCGATCAAGAACCCATTCCAGAATCAAATGAATTTAAGGAAACACCTCCACAAATATCTACGTCTCCAGTTTTCTATGAATTTCACGAAAATCACGGACGAAATATCGAATTGATTAACAACAAAACGACTGCACGTCGAGTAGCTTCGTATAACCAAGGCATTACTATCATTCAGAAACCCCTAGAACCGAATTCTAAAGTTGAAGTCATCATAGAAGAATTAGAAAGTCGCTGGAAATCTTCGCTCATTGTTGGATTAATTGTAGGAATTCCCGAAAGACTGAACTTGCCAGTGAACGCTTTAGCCATGAAGCCTCCAAGCTGTATCATAGCTAATGATTGGTTAGCTATAAATGGAGTTAAGGTAATCATTTTTTTATTGCATAGATTTTCGTCCGTCATCCGGTTTCAAGGTAACAGTTAATTTTATTCTAAATTTAACTGAATAATTCCATTTACTAGTTATTAATTAATTTTAAAATGACTTGTTTTAATTCCATTATGTTATATTAAATATTAAAATATTATAATACATTATTATATTTAATGATAGAGATTGTTGGCAAGTCCTTAAAAGTTTTGCTGTAATTTTATACAGTACTATATACCATTCTTTCCGATGCCCTGGCCAAAAGTAACCAGGTGAAAATTTTCAAAAGTGTTGGGTAGGTTTATCAAATACGGAGAATTCATTTTTGTTTTCAAGCCTGATAATTTTTAAATCTAGAAAATTTATGGATTGATTTCTGTTGTGTTTCTATTGTAAATTCAATATAACTATGGAGTGAATTTATGTAAGATAAGAATTGGCAAAGTTGCCCATTAGTTCTTGAAAAGCTTAGTTATATATAGAGAATTACCCATTATAAGTCCTGCTATGTTATTTGTATATATTTGATTCTTTACCGATTAGCGCCCAGTGATACCATACGGTATCATAAAACGCGCCTATTTCTCTTGCTCTTGAAACCTATGAGAAACGATCGTATGGTCTCGTCCCCTCTCCTAACTATAAACAACAGACCATTACACCATACCAACATTAAAACCGCTCATCAGTATGTTTGTAACATTTGTAGAGTAAGTGTGATTTTTCAAAATATTTGGTCTGTCGAAGTTGGGTCGAAAAGATGGACTTGCGTAAGTAAATTTTATTTATCTATATAATAAATGTTAACGATATTTTGTAAAAAATCTATAGTTAATAAAACAAATGTTTACATCCTTTCTGTCATTTAAATTTATTGAGACATTTTTCTAATATCTTACCAAATATATCTGTGATACCATATGGTATCACAGACAGTTCACTGCGAATTTATCACATCATATCATTTATAATTTATGATAGTTTTTTTACAGCCGTGGATTCTCATTATCAAAAACTTTAATTTAATTTCGACCACCCAAGAAAATCTCACAATATCTACCCTCTCCTAAGGACCCATTACCGCCCCTATCTTCCTGTGGTGTCTATTCTATTCCTTGTTCATGTGGACATGTGTATATTGGCGAAACTGGTCGTTCCGTCAAAACTCGGATTCAAGAGCATCAAAGATGCATTCGGTCAGGTCTTTTCTCCCATTCTGCAGTTGCAGAACACTGCCAAGAAACCGGTCATTCCATATTGTTCGAAAAAACCCATATTATTTCTAAGAGCCCCTTCTTTTATTCCAGGAAAATCCGCGAATCTCTAGAGATCCGAAAAAATCCACATAATATCAATCGAGAGGAAGGATACTACTTGTCTCCCATCTGGAATCTCAGTCTAGAGCCGCCGTCCGGTCCCGCTACCACGATGCAGCCACATGATTGGCCAGCGCGCGCTTCTTGACGTTCGCGCCACGGAGTGTGCCGATACGTCCCGACACGACAGGTCACCGCGACTATAAATAGAGTAATCGTCGGATTCACTCCCCGCCTCTCGACGCGTTAGTGTTCTGAGCTGTTGGACGTGAATCCCTGTCCTGGCATTTGGTTTTCACCTCTGGCTGCGTTAAGTAGTTGAGTTACTGTGACCATATGCCCATCTTGGTAGTTAGTATTCGCCTCTGGTTGCGTTGAGTAACTGAGTTACCGTTGCTAACTACCCATCTTCCTGTCTTTTGATTTATTTTTCTTTGTTCTCCTGAAGAAGCTACATACAATTGTAGAGAAACGTCGAGATGAACCCACTTTTGGGTCACTCACAAATGACACGGTCCAAACCGGAAGACGAATAAACTATAATCAAAAGCTTTAGATGATATGTGATAATGAAAATGTCGCTAATGAACTGAAAGGAATATTTATTGAGCCATCTAATCCATCTGTTGACACTGATGAAGATTCAGGAGATGAAATAGATAACCTCATGATACATCATTTAACTGGTCGTCAATTGCAAGCTGATGCTAAGCTAAAATTAACCAATAACAAACATATTGAAGCAGGTGATGACGATGTAAATCTACAACCAACACATTCTTCTGCTGGTCATTCCCAGGAACCTTTGAGGTCTGAAAGTAATTGGATTCAAAACAGATAACAAGAAGTTCAAAAAGAAAAACTATTCAATTTGCAAAGAGGTAGAGAAAAAAGAAAAGGAATAGCGAAATATGATCAACAAAATAAATGGGTAAAAGGGAATCTTGTTGAACAAGTAAACGATTTTTTCTTAGCTGTCTAGTTTGTATGAAGGTATGACATGTACAGCATTGTTTAAATGTTTTTTTGATGATGATATATAATGAATCTCATTTGCGAGGAAACAAGAAACTATGCCTTATTTAAAAATCAAGCTAATCCAAATATAACCGTAGAAGATTTCAAATGTTTCTTTGGATTATTAATTCTTACTGGATATAAGATGTGCCATCAAAAAAGCATTACTGGGAAATAAAAGACGATCTTAGTAATAAACTTATGACCGACGCTATGCGTCGCAATAGATTTGATGAAATTCAAAAATATATTCATTTTGCCAATAATACACAGATCAATGAATCAGACAAGATGTGGAAATTCCGCCCACTTATGGACAAACTGAAGGAAAAGGGTTTGGATAATTTTATGTCGTGAGCCATGATAAAATATTTTGGTCGTCACGGATGTAAACAATTTATCCCTGGAAAACCAATACGTTTTGGTTACAAAATGTGGTGTTTAAATACCAATGATGGCTACCTGATCAATTTTGATTTATATCAAGGGAACAATCCTTGTGGAAATAAATCTTATGACTTTTGGAACTTTTTTTTGGTAAATGTTCTGCTCCTTTAGTACATTTTTTGGAAGATTTACCAAACGATAAAAGACTGTTGTGTTATGCCATTCATGTTAACAATAGTCTTGCCCAAAATCGGTCTTGATCTTGCAGTCTTTAGACCGCCTAATTATAGCAAGACCAAGACCAAGACTGACCGTGTAAGATTTAGGCAAGAACAAGACTAAGCCTGCGAGACTCTTGCTTCTTGCAGTTAGGACTAAGTGTCGTTTTAGCGAGTATAGTAATTCGGGTACATGCTTAAAGACTCTATGAGACGCACAAAAATATGTAATAAAAATTTGAAAAACTGGACGTATGCGCATTACGAACAATATCATAAACATACATACCGAATCAAAATATTCATTTAAAAAACACATTTGACACATGCTCAGAGGTCATAATTACAATGTAAAAATAAAATATTTTATACATTCTTTTCCAGCACACGACTTCTTCCCTCTGAAAATAATTGTCCAGATTTTGAGTATAGCTTCCCTCTAATCATAAAATAATCTTGCATTGCTACGCCGACAGTAATATCGTATCGATTTTTTTTTAAATATGTCACCTTAGCTAATAAAAAATATAACACTTATTGTTACGGACACCCACTTAATAATTCAATTTTTTTCCCATTATAATTTAGTTAGGAGGAATCTAAATAAACAAATCATATCGGCCTTAGGACTAAACATTGTTTCTGCTGAGTGTGCGATGAGATCATTCGGCTAAACAAGATTTGCTGAAAGAGCGCGGCTAATATTCAAAAGTAACGAGACAAATTATTAATAACAGATAATGTCGCCTACGGTGTAAAGAAAATACCGAAATATTTAGAATAACGAAGTAACGATAAATAATTCTAGGTTTGTTAGAGTCTTAGGGTATTGGATAGTAACGGACATAAAGTAACTATAATTTTTCGACATCACCAAACGTCATTCCCTATTGAGCTTTCCCTTGAGTCTAATGTAATAATAATTTTTTTCATCTAATCCTTGTTGTTCCCTGAGTGACAAGTTTACAATTTGACATGAGGGACAAAGATTCAAATAGTTCTATTTGGAGTAGTGAGCGTTGGAATTATAGATCTGAAAGACCTAAAAGCAAATTTGATGAGTTTTCGAAATAATTCATGTATCCCAAATTGCTTTGTGTATGTTGTGCCTACATAGAAAGGTTGAAATTAAAATGAAAAACAGAAACACGTCAGGTTTGAGGAAGCATCTAATATCTTTTCACAAAAAGGAATTACAAATATTTCTTCCTGAAAAACCAAAATTCGGTGGAGATACTACAAGCTTTTTAAAAACCTCTGGAAAAAGTGGACATGTGAAAAAATATACTTATTACCTTATTACCAATGTATTTATTAAGTAGATATCTCCTTAATTTAAAATAACTTCTTTTGATTATCATTGCTTTTTTACCTATTCTTTATTTTTCTAAGTTAGCTTTTTATATATTAGTAGAGTCAATATTGTTAACAACATTTATGTTGCTTTAATAAGTGGATTATGGTTTGTTATCTTATCACTTTAAGAATCTGTGCCCTTGATATCTGTATGTGGATTTATTGCTACATACCAATCTTTTTTAAGATTTCCATTACATATGTGTGGGTTGGGGGGGGGGGGTCCATGAATCCCTTTCTAGGCAGATAGTGTTCTTTAAAATACAGTCAAGTTTATGTCATTAATTTGTTTTTTTTTGTATTTTAACCATGTTTTGAGCGCATATGTAAGCTTATTAAATGCAAACGTTTATTAAGAAACAGATTGCTGAGTTAGTTAGAGCATAGGCACGGATCGCTAGATCATGGCTTCAAACCGTACCCGGTGTTGTTTAGACATTTATTAATTTGGTTGGTCTTTATTATGGCTATGTTAATTCAAGCTTAAAATGTTCTTTCCTCTATTACGTTGTTCTAAGATTTAAAGTAACGTTTAATAAATAGTAATAGGCTAATCCGTAACTGCAAGACCAAGACCGGGAGTGCGATACCAAGACTAAGACCAGGTGTATTGGCGCAAGACCAACACCAAGACTGTCTAAGTCTCGTCTTGTTCTTGCATTTGGGCAACACTAGTTGCCAATCTGTTTACTAATTATAATTTGTTTGCTTATCTGAAGTACCTAAGATATTCTGCAATTGGAACAATTCGTGATATTCGGTTGGGTAATACGTGTCCACTGACAATTAAATATCATTTTCTAAAAAATCCAGAAACAGAATGGCAGACGAGAGGTGGCCAACGAAAATATTAAAATGGATCCCAACCGAAAGAAGGAAAAGATCCAAGAAGAAGCTGGCGAGATGACGTGAATGAAGCCATGGAAGGAAGACAGCTAAATGAAGCCGACACCCGAGATAGGAAACGATGGAAACTAGGGACAGGAAAACAACGACAGTTGTAAACAACCTGTACTATATATATATATATATATATATATATATTATATATATATATATATATATATATATAATCCAGGGGTACCTCAGAACATAAAATACATAAAGACGACAGACTTGAAAATTGACGGATGGATGGAACCGTCCAAATTGTATATCTAATTAACTGATCTTCAGAATCAATGTGTGCCAAACTACAGAATAGGTGTTAGGGGAAAGAAGTGGTACTGGTCCATATTTACTTGGATGGTAGATACCACACTAAAGACTGCCTGGAACATTTACAGGAAAAATAACAAAAATGTGTCAAATCGACGGGTGCTGACAGACAAAAGGTTCACATGGAACCTTTCGCAGAAGTAAGGTATGACAAAATCGATCATTTTGTTGCTCCTTGGAATGGAAAACGTTGCGATGGAATTGGTTTTACTACATTTGGGAGGACACAATGCATAAAATGTCATGTCGGACTATGTGTAAAGTGTTTTATTTCGTATCATTCTAAATATTTTTTTTTTGTAAATTGGATATATGATAAGTTACTAGTGATACCCTATGGTATCAGAAATCATATGTTTCCTTTTAACTTTAGGTCAAAGAGACCTGGGCGTTAATGGGTTAAGTTCATTTTGATTTTGCAAATTTCAAAATTTTAGATGTAATAATAGGATTTGAAATATTATGATTTAAAAAGGTTTTTAGTCTATAGGAGGAATACTACAAAAAAGATTATTTACGTCAAATGAAATTAATCTGGAGTTATCGGTTAATGGAAAATGTGCTTTTCTTTGCAAGGTCTAATGTGTTTTTTACGGTAAATTTAGATGAAAATTTAGTGTATTGTAAAATAATATCCAACAGTTTTTTTTGAAATTTTATATGATTGAGCTGTATAAAAAGAAACCACAAGTCTTATTGGGTGGTCAGGTTTATGTAGTTTAATAAAAGAGTTTAATTTAGGGGATTGTGGGTTCATGATAATGACTTATTTCTGTTCTATTGAATTTAATATTGATTTTGAATTTTCTAATGCAAGTTTAATTGGTTTTTAATACTTTATACTATAATATTGCCTTTTTATTGTAGTCGTGTTCAAATTATGGCGAACGATTGGGCAACCTAACTATTGGTGATAAAGTAGGATTAATTCTTACGGAGTCAAGATGTCTGCAGATATCAATAAACGGTATTGAAGAAGAACCTTTGGCCTTGAATTTTCCAATGGGTCAGTCAATTTATGCGATTTTTGACCTTTACGGCCAGTGTCAACAGGTATGTATTTCCTAGCCCGCAGCCTATTTTTTATGTGCAACAAATATGCAACAAGCTTTAAAATAATAAGACATTTTTATGTAAAATATATTTGTATTTTTATAAGAAAAGACAAAAATGAGATTTTAATAAAAACGACAAGATAACACTTATATTAATCTATAGGAAAAGCTCCAGAAATTGATAAAGTTACCCATGTAATGTTAAACGAACGGCTCATAGAGAAATCACTCATAATTCACTAAAGTACTGGCACTCAGAAGTCATTGGTTATGCTTATAAAATAGGAGCTTTTAGTGAGGTAGTATATCTTGACGACAAATAGTTTGTGATGGTTGTGTGACATTCAGAGAGATCTATGAAGACAGCTCTAGTGATCATTCGTTTCTCAAATCCATCCTAGACGTATTTCGTATAAATTTAAATCTAACTGCAGCATTTTCCAGATCGGAAACTAGCCCTAGAAATCTTTTCCGAATCCAAAGTCTGGAAGAGAAATTCTCCTCAGAACTATAATTTCGAACCCTTTAAAGAGATGGTATAATCACAGTTTTTGGGAGATACATTTGGGAAAAGTATTTTCCCATTTGATTCCTGGCCATTTAAATTTCATTACTTGTTCTACCATGTTATTTACTAGTTTACTCCTTATTGGTGATTTTGATATTACTAGACTGTTGCTATTACTAGGCTGTGTTTTGTGGCGATATTTTCACATTGAACACATTCATGGTAAATTGATATAGTATTCGCTGTAAGTCGTCTTCATTTTCTGCTATCGGGACTGCCTCATCTGCATAACCTATTATTTATGTTTCCTTATTTCCCATTTAATATCTTCTTTTCGTTTTTGCTTGTAATATTACCTCATCTAATATGAGCTTAAATATTATTGGACTTGGTCTATACAAACAATTACGTTCGTAAAAGTCATTTTGACTTTTATAGTTATATTTATATTTTGAAGCCCAAACTTTTATATTTCCATTCGTCCCTGTTATCGGTAATATTACTCAGAGAGTAACTGAGAAAATCACAAAAGCGAAGACTTGTTTTCCAGCACTATTAACCGCATATGACTTGAATAACTTTTCTACAGGAAAATTATTTTTTATGATGAACTTTATTAATTTTTAGATTAAAATATTAAATAAAGTAGCACAGGATGAACAGGTAATTAAAAAGAGTATCGACTGTGAAAAAGCTGATTTAGAATCTTGTGAAAAAGAAGGTTCTGAAACGAAATTAACCCTTCCTATACCTTCTGCTAGTACTAGTGTTACAAGTTCCGTTATTATGAAAACTTCTCACATCAATACTCCTTTGAAATCGTGTCCATATAAAGAAGAAGTTGAAAAGTTTAAAAAGAAGTTGTTACTACCAGGTAATCAATATTATAATTTGCTTATTCTGTGTCTTTCCGTAATGAAAAAAAAAACCTCAGCGGTACCTATCCACAAAAACTACTACTAATTTGAATAATATATATTATGCGTCACCTGTCACTGTTTTATTAAGTAGAAAGAAATATTTAGTAACAAAATATTTTTTATTTAATATAGAAATAACGTTGTGTGTAAAGAAATAAAGGCTTTGAAAATTTTATAAAATAATATGCATTGTCTTTAATATAAGTATCATAATAATGAAAAAATTGATTTGCTAATTGAGGCACTTTTTTCTTTATTTTCATATTAATTTTTTCCTTAAAAACTAGTTTTCTTTGTTATTTTTTACTTTAATTCATATTCACTTTATTGTTATTTATATTACTAAACTAATTAACATATTTTTTAAAACTGTACCTACTAAAAAATGACTGACTGAAGGACAAAGTTTTGCAATAAAAATTTGTTAATATAAAATTAAATAAATATTAAATATTTAAAATAATAAAAAATATTTGGATAATGATAATTTGGAGATAAGGTTTTTAATTAAAATAAAAATGAGTTTTTATGCATGTATTAAGGAATTCCTTTTATACCTTAAACATTATAGTTTTTAGTTATCAAATATTTAATTCAAAATTAATGTAACTACATTTAAAGGGTTTTTACCCACATATTTAGTTACTTCAAAGATGTAATTCCAGATAGCTTTGATGATGGAATAGTTATTCCGAAAATGTTCTGTGATGTAGCCCGATAGGGGCTTTTATTATTATACCTTTTATAAAGGAAATTATGATTGGCAGGGATAACCAGACTCATGAACTGAAGAGAAGAATCGGCCTTGGGTGGGCAGCATTTGGAAAACTGAGAGAAACTTTTAAAAGTGAGCTGCCCACATGCCTAAAGAGAAAGGTATTTGATCAGTGCGTCCTCTCAGTCTTGACGTACGGAGCAGAAACACTTACCTTAACAAAAGCCGCAGCTACCAAACTGAGAGTCACGCAGAGTAGAATGGAGCGGTCTATGTTAGGAATAACTCTGCGAGACAGAATAACCAACGAAGACATCAGGAGAAGAACCGGAGTGACTGACATCATCGGTAAGATAGCCAGACTAAAATGGAGATGGGCAGGACACATAGCCAGAATGACAGATGGGCGATGGACAAAGAGGTTATTGGAATGGAGGCTAAGGAAAGACAAGAGAATCGTCGGTCGACCACCTACAAGATGGACTGACGATTTGAGAAGACTCAATAAAAACTGGATAAGAGCGGCGCAAGATAGACGGGGTTGGAAACACGAGGAAGAGGCCTATGCTCAGCAGTGGACTCTTGAGGCTGGATGATGATGATGAAAGGAAATTCATTAAATAAAAATGTTTGTGATTCATGGTATACAGCCAACTACAGGAATTTAGATACATTGTAAATTTTGATTTATTGACTAAGGCGTCTGGCTGACTACAAAATAAACAACTGATCGAATCCAAACTTGCGACGTAGCAAATGAAAGGGGAATAACAAAGATATTAAGATAGAAAAATCAAACAAGGCGACTTCAATATTAATGAATATATCGTGACATACGAGATATCATAGGGTACTAAGACTAAAAAGAGATTTGCTATAAAACAAATTTTGATTTGTTGACTTAAAGAAGGCCTCTGGCTGAGTACAAAATAAACAACTGATCGAATCCCAACATGCGATATAAAAGCGAGGAAATAACGAATATATTAAGATAAAAAAAATCAATCAGTGTGTAGCTGTTACCACTCGTGGTAACAACGAAAACAACAACAAAATAAATCTGCTTAGAATATTTTTGGTGTACAAAACAAAAGCATTTTAGTAGAGTATCATACGTTCTAGAATTCCGATGCGTTAGAATCGGGCCACTTTCTAGTATTTATATAATCGATTCTTTTATTATAATATATTTACTAATTTCAGATCACTACTTTAATGTAGAAGAGCCAATATGTTATTGCCAATATTGTTCAAAAGCCAGAAGTTCTGATGAAAAAGAAAATTTGTTAGGTAAGTGTTTGAATCGAGTTAATTTCTGTCAAAACAATTAATAGGATTAGTAGTTAATGTTCCGGTTTACCGTAATTCCTTTGATTAAATAGTATTGTAACTGGAATTAAACTCACGTTTCAATTGATTTACAGACCAGCCTAACTGTACAAAACAATAATCGTTCTTTATCGCCACAAAGGCTTGGCCACACAAAAGAGTCCACCCTGATATTTGGCAATATTTATTGGATTTTGTGAAAATGCTAAAACTGGTCCATTTTTATTCTAAAGGTGTCATTTTTTAACGATATAGATATCTATTAATTGTCAATCCCTTCCAGTACCCCACCCCATAAATTTTAAATAGGGAATATACCATGTGTGGCACATTGCTAGATAAGTATTTCGCTTGAGAATTCAGACATCCATATTATTTTCGAAATTAACTCTATTCTTGTGAAAAAGATCAGTTTATTGAAAGAGTTACACCTCTTAAAAACTAAAATTAACGCCTACCTATGTTTTGCTAGTGTCAATTTCCGCTCATATTAAAAAACTACATTAAAACTAAATTTGCAACATTAATACGTATGTTTGCAACTTTATTAAATTGAACGTAAATAAAATGAACTAAATTGTAAATTATTAAATTCGTAATTCAAAACAGTTTACTTATCAGCTATAACTATTTACTTACGTATTCAAAATTATATCCATGGTTGTAAAGTCGCTGTTCGAAATTACGAAGGACATTTTGGAGCATTTCAGGGGTTACTAGAGAGTGGTATTATAAATCTTCCTTTTAACTAACCCCATATGAAGAAGTCTAGAAGAGTTAAATTACCAGAGAGAGTTATAATACCATTACAACTTCATTGGAAGAACTATGACAACAAATAGGGCATGAATATAGTCAAGTAACCATTAAAATGTCCCTAAATGTTCTTCGTAATTTCGAACAGCGAATTTATAATTATATAGATTGGTGCTAGGTTATTTTTAACAATTGGTTAAATTAAACTGAAAGATTTATAGCATAAAATTACGTTGAACAAAAGTCGAAAAGGGGGAGTTCATTATAAACATTTCATTTAATTACCTACACGAAGTCTTAGTTGGAAGAGTACATTTTTAACGTTAGTTGTTAGTAAATTGATCTCAAACTATACTCAAATTTTATTTTTAAACATTTTATGTAGTTTATATAATAATTAAATTTACTATCAAATAAATATTTATATTTTATTATTAATTTGATATTTAGTCTGACTTTAACGATTCTGTCACAAGTAAACTATCAGAAGTAAAACTTTATTTATACGTTAGCAGGTGGCGTTAGGAGCAAACATAATAATTCATTGAAATATTATAACGTATATGATTTGTTTTAAATATGTATAATAAATAAATAATAAAATTACTTTATTTGATTTTAAAAATGTTATTTAAATTTTAAAAATACAGAAAACATAGGATATTGCTGCTCACTATTCTACAGTACCGCCTGCTGTATCACCTTTTTTTATAATAACTGGTACAACTGGATTAAATTAGCTAATTTTGATTTTGAAGTATTTATTGAGTCAATGAAATGTTTAAAATGTGAGAATATGAAGAAATTATAAAGAAAATAGTAGGTAACAGTTTTATTTTTTCATAGGAACAGTTACATTATAGTCTTATACCAAATGATTTCGACGACTCTACCTCTACAGTAGTAGTTCATTTTATCTATGTATAAACGTAAAATAACGTTTAACAAACGTAATTTTTAAATATGAAATAAATAAATAAAATAAAATTATAAGGTTCTTCAAAAGTTTTTTTTCTTCGTCTTCTGTATTGACTAAAATGTTTCACCCATCGATTTAATACACCTTTCCTTACCTTTAATAGCTCTTCAGTTAGGATATTTAGGAAGCTATTTTAGTTAGCTTGAGATCACTTAGAAATAATCTGAGTATATTTGATGCCTCTATAATTTCTACAGTTTATACCGTCTATCTCGTGACTCGAATCTATTAATATAAGATCAATGTGACTTGTTGTTCTTCGTCAGGGAATGTTCAGGATACCTTATGTATTTATGTTCAATATAGGTGTATATATGTACTAAATTTATTAATGTATAATATTATGATAGATGTTTATACATACATAATAGAATATACATTTTAATTGTATCTTCAAATATTTATAGTTGAGCCTCCAAACGCGATCGGCGCTACAAACTCTATCTATCGTCATTTGTCAACACATGAGTATCCTGACTATGTGGGGGTATGTTGCAGTCTCACAGAACGCATTCTAAATAATTTAAGTGAAGTAATGATGAATTGCCGGTTTTATGTCGCATTATTCACGCCGAAATTATAGATCACTCACCCGGCTGTCTTATCAGAAATCCTCTAGAGCTCTAGTTTCGTACCAGTATCATAAAGTCCAGTAGGACCATTATAAGAAAAAAAAATACTAAAGAAAGGTATTTACAAACAATTTAGGCATCTTGAATAGGGGTTACGCGTTGTTGTACAGGATAGCCTGTGCTTTTAACTCTTCGAATTTCTTTAGCTTATGCAGTGTTTATTTTATATCTGCTAGGCCTCTTGCAACGACTTATCATTTCTTTTTTAAAATATCTTCCGCTAAAATGAATTGATGAAATGCATGAATGAATAAATTCGATATGTTTAGTTAAAAATACTATAATAGTCTATAAAGTTTAGCAATCTACAAGTCTACAATTTTTGTGGTATTTTTCAAAGATAATATTTAACAGATCAGTTGATTTAGAAAATTAAGTATTTACCAAGAATAAATGCAAATTTAAAAATATGTAATTATCCTATATGATTCATTTTACTCTCTCTTTTTTAGGTTGGGTTAAGTTTCCATTATCTATTTCCGAAAATATGTCAACTGATAAATGGCATTACGCGTTTTATTTTACCAAGCTTGGTGGAGTTAGATGTATTTTAGATAGAGGACAACCTCTTACTAAAGGTAAAAGGAACTTACGATGATAAAATATTTTATTACATAGATAAAAAAGTATTGTATTAATCATATTAACAAATATAGTTATGTTTCCTCATATGACCGACTCTTGCTTCCGGAATGCCAGTGGTGTACGAAAAAAATTATTTTGGTACATGTACATCTACCTACAATAATTAATTATTTTCGTTATTTACATTTGAATAAAATATATAATGACTTGTAACATTGTAAAATTAAAAAATATTATTTTTAGAACATATAAACATATATATTTTATAGGTACGTAATTGCGCATCGCATGCCACTGATGTGAATGGATGCAAAATATTAAAATTTAAACAATTTATTGATTTACCAAAAAGAATACATTAAATTATTGACATAACACAAGTTACTTGTTTAACATTAAAATATCGGGGATAACTACATTCACATTATTCACCTGTCAAATTCACGTCGGATATTGTAGCTGATGTGATGTCAGTTCCATCGTTCATAAGCTACATGTAAAAATATCAACATGTTCCATCTTTAGTGTATTACCATAGAATAATAAACAATCAGAATGCCCACTCTCCAGGTTGTGACTACGAATTATACGTTTTAAATTTCTTTAATGCCTTATTATTATCGAACTACTCCAAAGAAGAACATCTCGGTCTCGACTACATGTGCAAGAATTTTATTTCACTTGTGTTTCTAAATTTGATTTTGTAGCATGAACTTGGAGCCATAGTTTGTTACAATTTATTTGTATTATGATTTTATTACTATACCCTGTTTTTTAACCAGGAGGAGTAAACCAAAAAGACAGATTCACACCCAAGAAAGTTACTAGAAAAGTCACCAAATACATCTTCTTTTTTTGTTGTATATCTCGGCCTTACGGTAATTGAGTAACCAATATCGGACAACCTTACACGTCAATTCTAACCTAACTTTATGTTTTAATAACATTATTTTTTAATTCACTTCCAATATATATTACAATTATTACAATAAAAAAGGACGTTTTTCACATTTGGTCCCATGTATTTATATTTAAATATAGGGTGATCCATTTTTATAGATCTTTTGAGTCGATGGTACTTAATTTAGAGAATATTTTGATGCAGAGAGTCAATAATGTTACAGATCTAAGTATGGTTTTTCACAGAAAGTTGTCTTTTAATTTGCAAATAGATCTTATATGCAACAAAGCTATGCAAATGCATGTATCAAAAAGTTAGAGAGAGGTCAAAGATTTCTGAAATACTGTTCTTTTAAACTACGTAGACCATATTCTTATTCTGGTGTGATTAATTTCTTGAATCTAGGTTTTTTTTGCTTACCAGAAGAATTAACTTTGACTTTGATCATTATTTTTAAGCTTAATAATCCAATCTCCTGAATTGCTGCAGCCAGTTTGTTTTACATATTCCTTCCCATTCACTGCTTTAGAATTGACTTTTTCATGTTTCATATCACAGAATAAATTATGGTTCAAATATAGGTGTGGTCCTACTTTTCATGCATGGTAATCAGTTACCTCATTATAGATAGATTTAACTTATGTATCAATATCTTAAGGATCTATTTGAAGCACTAAAATGCAAAACAATAAATTTGTATAAATAAGTGTGTACTTGCAATTTCTTTAATGCTGGATTCTTGTTTAATTTTGACAGTGAGTTTGTCCCATTTGTTATCAATAAATAAAATTTACTAAAAAATACTGGATTTCTGTGAGATAATCAACTAATTCAATCTATTATGTTACATTCTAGTATAATTTTGTAGTTTTCTTGTGATGATCTACAACAGGAAGAACAAAACCAACTGTATCAATACAGTCAAAGTAAAACACAACATTACTAATGTTCTTTTATTGTGATGTAAACAAAATGAAAATGCTTCTTAACAAGTATACACAAATTTAAAAGATAGTTGCCGTTTTTCTTATGATAATTAAATATAAATATCACACATTTATAAACACTGTAAACTCTATTTATTATATATATCAGCTAGAAAAAGATCACATTAAATACTATTATCGCATATCACCAAGTCCAAATGAACAAATACCACATTTTGAATTTCTTGATTTATTTTTTCAGCAAAAACTGAATCTATTTCAGATATTTGAGCAAGAAAGTTTTGTTTTTGGTCAGCAGCCCAATGTATAAACTATTCTTTGAATAATTTCCCCTAAAAAATAACTATGGTAAGACATTCATAATATACACAATAAATCAATCATCCTATAAAGTAAGACAAACAATCTATAGTTATGCTATGTAATATTTGCTGCATTGAATCTGCATATGTAAAGTAAAAATATCCCTAATTCTATTGTTGAAAATAGTTGAATTTGCAACACCTAAAATTAGCACATTACTTTAGTAGGTCTTGATTTTAATAATAACTATTCTGTAAAACTAACCTGCTGCCTGTTTTATTTTTACTACCGTGGCTGTTATTTTTATTCCAGAATTATCAATTTTCATGTTTGTACATGTTTATAGTATATTATCTTTCATTTGATGATAAATGATCCAAATCTACTCGGCGTTTTTAAGGTGGAGAAGAATAATTACCACTAGTACTTGGCATTGAATCCATATTGTTATCTTAATAACACTAATATTTCGCTAAATAGTTCTGAAAAGAACTGTTTTTTATATAAATGCAAACGAAAAATATAAAGATGTAAGAAATAACACAGAAAATACAGAAAAGTGTCGATATAAATTTTGAATTTTAAAATTTCACAAATGTCATTAGTGTCAATATGTCATAATTTAGTGGAGTAAACTTGCCTGCGCTTCGACCAATTACAAACAAGCATTATGGCGCGGAAAATTTGAATTACTCCTCCTGGTTTAAAAACAGACCATAATTAACTACCACCTACTTGCTAGTGGTTAAATATTTCTTTGTGGGTGGATGGTGGTGGATTGTAGCAAACAAATTAGGGTTTTGTTGACTAAAGCTTTTTTTATATAAAAAACTGCAAGATTCGAAGCTATCTAACTTTATTTAAAAATTGCTTTGTTAAATAATATTGACCAATATAGTATTAAAAACTGTTTATGTTTTTAATTGAGTGGAAAACAGAATAAATTCCTGCTTTATTTTTGTAAATATCTTCCTGCTCCCAACACATTTTTCTTTCTTTCCGTTCACTTATGAACTCAAAATTATAATACGTTGTAGTTTTATGAAAATAACAGTTTTATCATTAAATATTTGATATCGTTTTGATTAAATAGTCATTTTTTAATAAAATAATATAAATAATAATAAAAACTAATCATTATTTTTTATATTCTCCCGTAAAATGGTACGTCACTATGAAACAGAAAACTTCACTTCTTCCTGTGCTTTTTATAATCGTAATCTGCAACATTATTTTTTATTTTCTCGATGTAATTACAATTTAAATAACTATTATTACTATTACTGTTATTTATTTTCAAACAAACCAATTTAAAATAGTTTATACAAAACTTACACAAATTTTGTTTTGTAATCCAAACTGCAATAATATTGTAACGAGAAAGCTAATTTCGATGTACCCCATGTAAGGTTGCGTCTCTTAGCTTAGAACGATGATATGTGTTCGAAAATCTTCGAGATGTATCGACCGAGGCGTTCATTCAAGCGCGAATAGATGTGGACTATTCCAGATAAAAGAATCGTATTGTAAACTTTAACCCTTATCTGGAGAGACCCTATTTTAATACACACAGAGAGACATGCCGTCTGACAGACTACAATGTAGGAGAGGGGATAAGAACTAAACTTACAAACTTTTATAATATATTTAATAGTACTCTAAAAGCTGTTTGTATTTGCAATTGAACACCGTTAAGAAACTCAAAATATTGTCAGATAATAAAAAAATTACTACGACTTTCTAACAGCTAATCATTTACAGTTCGTGACAATCACATTTTTTACTTTTCATTACAGTGAAAAAATAAATATACATCAAGTAAGTTTTTTTTATATAAAAGACACTAGCACATACTGAATTACGTAAAAATTAACTCTCGAAATTATTTTGATGTTGAAAAAAATGTCCAGCAATTGTAAAAGTTACATACAATTGGTACAAATTGGTTTCGTACACTGAAGACGACGAACACACGTTTACTATATCGGCCACAAAGGTATTTTGTCATACGGTTTTTTAAACATATTTTTCACTTCTTTAGTACTAATGGCTCGTTATCATCTACTTGGTTATTCTCGCGAATTCTAAGAATACTCGTTATACTATTACGCATTAGCCGCGGTACATGAAAATTACCCATTCTTCGCTTCATATGATCTTGTACTAATTGTTTTGCTAATATTTTAGCCAAAGCAGATTTTTCTTGAATTTTAGAATTTTTTTGTAACTTTGGTGCAGTATGTATGCATTTACAATAGCAATATCTATTATATGAAAGAAAACAGCGTCCATCTGCGAGTTCTTCTACCACACGAATTTTTAGCACATTTTTCGTACATGCAGTCTACACCTCCTTTGTTGCCATTATAATATCAAATTATTTCTGATTTTTCTATTGAAGAATCATTACAAACTCTATCATGCATTGATGGTATTAAAATTGTAGCTTTGTTTTTTCTGGCCACATAAGATACCCTTGTACACTCTTTTCTAAATCCATAAACACTAGAACCAGGTTCTCTGGTTTTTTTTTTTGCCAAAAATGACGGAGGTATTTCATGTTTGTTCTTTTTCAAAGTTCCTTCATACGTAAGATTATTTTACTGCAAAACATCTATTAGCTCTAATGACGAAAACCAGTTTTCCGCAGTTATGTTTCTGTTGCTGCCAATTAAAGGTTTAACCGCAAGACTGCTTGTGTTAGTTTTGAGTATTTTTTTTTTCTTCGGGTAAAAGACTTAAGCCGTCCGAGTCTTTACCACAGTATATACCCGTCATAGAAATAACTGGTTCTTGCATCAGTAAGAGCCATTATTTTGATGCCATTCTTACATGGTTTCTTAATATTGTTCTTAAGTTATTTTCTTGTGACATTTTAAATTAATTACTATTTAACTGGGAATAAGCCACAATTAAAGGTTAAAATACGTTTACTGACGTTTCAATTTCCACTTCGGAAATCGTTCTTAAATTACAAACAGTAAATTACATCAATTACATCAGTAAATTGATGTAATTTACTGATGAATCCGTCTGGCTATCAGATTTCAAATAAACATCATCTTGTACTTCATCAACATCACTAGCGTCACTATGTAATTCGTCAAACCACTTCAAAGCTGTATCTTCAAAATCAACATCGGTAAAAGGGATTTTTTTATGGACCGCCATGATTGTAACAAATACGCGACGTTTTTAATAAAACAAAATGTAACCTGAACAGGCTAACTAAAACTGATTTCGGTTATAACTTTTCCAAATATGCGTATTTCTTTACATAAGTCGGGTAACTAATAGTCAACGAATAATATAAAGAATAGATTAAGCGATGTGCCGATGGGTGGAGTTATTTGTACAAGGTGTTAAAAATTCTTTATGCTGTAGTCTGTCAGATGTCACGTCTCCAGTTAAGGGTTAAATAAATAGTTTATGTAAATTAGAACCTCTCGTTTTATTGTTAAACACGTTACAATATATTATTTTATTTAATTCCATAATATATACACATAGCAACCGTCTTATTGCAAACTGCAAAAGCAGTCATTATTAATTTGTTGTGAAATTAAAAAAATTGACAAATATTCTGAAAATGTACTTGTATTTTTTCTGAGAAATCCGAAATATTAAATTCATCTTCACATTGGTCAATTAATTTGATGAACTTTAAAAATTAAGGCAAAAATCGAGCACAAGTTTAACCAAATCTTACCCAAGTACTTTCGCTTAATATAGCATCTTCAGGGACATTTAGTCAAATATGGGCTATCCCTGACGAAATTCCCCTGAAGATGCTATATTAAGCGAAAGTACTTGGGCAAGATTTGATTAAACTTGTGCTCGATATAATTGCCTTAATTTTCAAAGTTCATTTATTCGAGCATTCAACCTCATATCAATTAATTAATTTGATGTTAAAAACCACATCGAACAATTTTATAGTTATTTTACTATTTTTTGTAGGTCAAGCAAAATGGTGCAATTTTACTGGACAAAAAGCTGACGACGTACAAATAGTATTCTACCCGTCTTTACAGACTATCGTTACGAAGGGATATAAAACCGAAAACAATCGAGAAGTTTATGCAGCCTTTCAATTATTGGTCAAACCCGGCGCATATTCTATATCAAGAGACACTGATATTACTGAATGGAGCACCAAAGAAAGTGGAGCTTTGGTACTTAATGCTCTCTTATTAAAAATTCAATAGAAGGGAAGGAGAATAAACATGAGTAGTTATTTTTTAAATAATAGTTCGTTCTATTATGTTTTGACTATTTACTAATTTTTTTTTAATTCCTTTATAAAAGGTATTGGCGACGTGCAAGTACTTGGAGGGGATAGGAGAAACGATCGTGCGCGAGTAGCGGAGAAATCTTGCATTTCTCTTTACTGCACATTTCATAGATTTCATAAATTCATATTGTCAATTGTCATATTTCATATTCGTTTGTTTATTTAAACTTTCTGTCACTGAAGAAAATGGGATTTAGGAAATGCTGTGTTATAAATTATAAAAATACAACAAAAAATTGTCAATTTAAGTTTTATTCGTTTCCAACTTCGAAGCACAAAGCTACTACAAAGAGAAAAGTGGATTTATATCATAAAAAAGCATAAGTAACATACCTAAATTATGCATTATTCTTGCGCCCGATTTTAAAGTCAGTTTGAAATATTTAATAAATAAAAGTTCACTTTTAAGTGTAAATTTTAGTTTCATAACACTCACTTAGAGTTCATTTTAACCCATAAATCAAGTTTAATGTTTAAATTTTATTTTTTTGAAGTTTACAAAAATGCATCAAGTTCAAGTTTTTCTGAAGATGCATTAAGATATATTCGCTCTCCAAAAGTTTACAGGATAATAATTAATTGTTCAAACCAATATGATGGGCTTAACCTGCTAATTTATGCCTTAACATTATTTATGGTAATTTATTTTTCTTAATTCTTCCACATAATTCTTCCATTCTTTTTTGACATTTGCCACTACTAAAGCTTTTCCCTTTGACTCAGTGCTTGGTTGAAAAGTTATTTGGTGATTTACTTTTTTCAAATCCAGTTTTTATTATTGCATCTATATAAATAGTAATGCTGTAATTTAATAATATATTTGTTTGTATTTACACTACATACAACGTTTACCTTTTAATAACATACCGACATAACCTCAATCTTACTTTTTCTTCTTATTCTTTTTTGGGGCTAGGCCCTTGACAGTTATCCGGTAACCTCGATCTAACATGAAAGCACAGTAAATTTTGCTGATTTACGACACCAGGTGTCGCTGTTCCGAACTTGCACGGTCCCAATATTAATATAAAAACCCTATCGGGCTACATCACATAACGTTTTCGGAATTATTCCATCATCAGTGCTATCCGGATTTACATGTATGAAGCCACTAAATATGTGGGTGAAAACCCTTTAAATGTAGTTAGATTAACTTTAAATTTTATTTTTGATATTTAAAAATTATGATGTTTAAGTTATAAAGAAATTGATCACGTGGCAACGTAAGAATCCACTGGGGTTGCTAGTCCTTAGACGAAGTATCTGTGAGGACTTGTTGATAGCAACATCATTGATAGTAACTAACTACTGAACTAGCAATCTAGAAGTTAAACATTTAAAGCGTTTTTACCCACATATTTAGTGGCTTCAAACATATAAATCCAGATAGCTCTGATGATGGGGTAACCCGATAGGGTTTTTATATTAATATACTTTTTATAAACGAATTTTAAAAAAATGTGATACATGGTATACAACCAATTACAGGAATTTAGTTTCCTTGTGGATTTACTAAAATGTTTGGATATGGCACTGAGTGTATGATTGTCTCAATTTTTTTATTTTTCATCGTTTGGAGATATATTTGTTTTTATTAAAATGAGTCAAATAATCCTCAATATTAGTCGACTGACTCTCAACATCTAAGTGCATAATTTCATAATTTACCAAAGAGTTATTGAGGAAGAATGACTTTATTTTTTAAATGTATTCTTTTTACAAATGTTTTTAATCGTTTATTTTTTTTTATATGAGGATATATCTCAATACATTTTGTTTCATAATATAACAAAACAAAAAAATATCACCATTTTTAGTTTATACTAATACCGATAGATAAATTATCTATCTATTATATCTGATATACCAGCGTATTCTAGGCCAAGTAGTATACTATTTAGACTTTATACTGTTAAGTAACCCTTTTTGATTTCTGGTCAGGATTTGAACCATCCATTCAGTAGATGATTCGCAGTGAAGTCTGGTCCGCTTGGCTATTTGACTCACGGTTTTATTCTAGTCGTAAATAAGCCCTTTATGTATTTTTAAAGGATTAATAAATACTTGAATAGATAGATAATTCTACAATAAAAATTAATTTGTAATCTGTGATTTAAAATTATCGTTATCATGCCTAGCATTTTTATCACAAATATAGTAAATTCATTCTTAACCGTGTTACTGACTCGTTGGCTCCGACCCTTACTATTATTGGTTCAATAACATTTTCCATTATCCCATCCAAGTTCCACATTTTTTCTTCTATTTTCAATAAATGGGCAATAGCGTTCTTCCAATTTGTAGGATGTATGCAATCTATACTGGTTTGTATAGGCGCTGAACATCGCCAATTTTAAATGTTTGTTGTCTCGGACAATATATCCCTTCATTTGAGCCAAATTAATTCAATTGGATTCAACTCTCAATGGTAAGTTATAAGTATCAAAACAGTATTACCATGAAGTCTAGCCATTTAATCAACAGCATATTGACGATGTCTACCACGATGTTCCTTGATAATTATCATTAGTTCTGCTTTGACCATATCCTCTGTAAATGACATACATTTTTTTTATAGCCAGCTCAGCATGATTGATTTTCTATGGCTATCGTGGGAATGTGTTCAACAAAGATACATTATCCAATACTATGATAAAGTTACTATGTAGGTACACGCTGGAGAATGTTCTCGAATCATATGGAGTTCATGTCTTCATGATAGTCCCCAGTTTTCTTCTATTTAAAAACAAGAACACCATTTTGCGGAAAACCAGTATCGTTGTCAATATGATCGACAGTTAGACAGACGCTGGCCCTTACCTGACGGCGCTCGCAATCTTATCAATAAACGTTCAAGAAAGGCATGTTGTGCATTCGTTACTGTTGTATCTTGCTAAACTTTGGCGACTGTGTGTCCAGCGTTAACCCAAGTCTCGTCGAGGTAATTTATTTTTCGTTTTGCCGCCCGATATTCCCGAATTGAGCGTAGACAATTACGTCGCCATAATATTATTACCTCCTTATCTGTTCGGCATCGTTTTATATATCGAAAATTAAGATCTTTTAATGTTTTTCGTAATAATTCACGGCTCATTTTGGGAAATTTGTCGATTTCGCCTATTTTACTTAAAATAGATTTGAAAGTTGAAGCCCTATTAAAAAAAATGAATGTACAGTTCTGGGGAGGATATTTTTTTTGTGGGCTTCATCCGACTTAACAGGTTTTCGTCCACGCTGATTTGTATATGGAGGTTTAAAACCATTTGTTAGTTTTTTCTCACGCACACGTTCAACTATTGCCACTGATACTCCTGTTAAAAAAGAACAGCGACCAGCAGCTTCTGTTGAAGGTAGTATTTTTTTTAGTCCATCATCACCTTCCAGATAATTTATTTTTTATTAAGTTTGTATTTCGTATTCTCTTTTTTTTCCGTTGTAAACTTCTCACTTAAGAAGTTTTTAATCTGGCCTTAGGATTTTATGTTAATTGTGGTCAATGTGTTTGTTTTCATGATCGTTTAGTTATTTAAAGAAAGTTCAAGACCTAAGTCATTTTATTCTTTGAGATCTTTCAAAAAGAATAACAATATATATATATATATATATATATATATATATATATATATATATATATATATATATATATTACTTCTTCAGATTACGCCCTAATTGCACAGAATATTTTCTTATGACTGTTAGAACTTTAAAAAAAGAATAATATGCTTTAACTTATTTTTCCATATGTGTAATTAAAATAAAAGATCTTTATCTTTCTAAATTACAATTTAATTCTTAAAATATCACACTATATTTTTATGATCAGTGCCAAAAGTTTAATATTTTTATGTTAAAAATATTATTTAACCATGAAAAGTGTATTTTTTTAATTTACCTTTTCTTAATTTTTTTTTGAATACGTTCAAAATCCATTACATTGAAGTATTCAACAAATAACTACTCTGCAAATTTTTTCTAATCATATTGGATTATTTGTACTTTTTAGAGCGTATTATCTACCCCATTATACTGCACAAGCGACAATCAATTTGACTTATGCCGACTGAAGTTTATAAAACAATATTAAGAGATTATTTTTTAGTCAGTCATTAGTGGTCGATATTTTCTATATCGATTCTGTTCTGTCTAAAGTCTTCCTGTTAGCTTATTTTTGTGTAACTGAACTAAGTTACCTGTTTAAAGTTTTGATGACTTTTCAGTGACATTATAACTAAAAATGTTGGACAGGCACTTTTTGTAAAATTATTTTAAATGGAATTAAAGCTAATGTCAATTGCCAAAAAGGTGCCAGGTCATATTTTATTTCTTCCGTAGATTGAGAATAATGGATATATATACAGTGTAGGTAAAATTTTAAGGTCGGTATGGTAAAATTTAACAGGATATCTAACGCAGATATAAAATCATATTTTCAACGAATTAGACAAAGATAACAATCATATTTCCCCTTCGTCTCCCCTCCTAAAATCATTTTAACACTCATTGGCCATTGCCCATTGGTGAGACGATTAGTTCCGATCAGATATTCTCTGGTTCCGATCCTAATATACCTAAAAAACTAGAGGTGGGTCTTCTCGTTTTTTTAATTTTTATCGGAACCGTTTTTCGTAAACTGTAACTAGTTGATTGTTTACCAGTATTCAAATTAGCGAGTACACAAACATATTAGCTATTATCGTTTATGTGTATAAGTATTGAAATAAAAGAACCTAACGAAGGATATATTTATTGTAACTTGAAAAATAAATTCAATAATACAAATGGTGCTTAAATAGTTACATTTACATTACACATTATTAAATCGCGAATCGTCTAAATTGACATTTAAAAACATAAGTTTTTCCACTTTTCTTGTTAATCGCGTTCTTCTTTTATTTAAAATTATACCAGATGTTA